AACGCAAGCGGTCTTTTCTTCGAGACTCGGATGGAGCCGCAACGCCTGGTATGCCGTTCACCGTCGTTAGCTTATAGAGTTGGTCAATGAACTTCTTTAGTGATGGAGACAGCCGGGCCTTCAACAGTCTGCAGGAGGCACAGGTATATGGCTTCGTGCCAATAGAAAAAGAGGACTGTGTCAACCATGTGCATAAGCGCATGGGCACAGCACTTTGAAACCTCCTGCAAAAACAAAGAGCCGAAGGAAAGCCAAGCCTTGGCGGCAAGGGCAAACTGACAGGTGAACTGGTCACAAAGCTGACGTCATATTATGGATGGGCTTTACAAAGCAACCAAGGAAGCATTGAGGCCATGAATAATGCTGTCTGGGCAACCTTTTATCACGTAGCATCTACTGATGCAAGCCCTCAGCACTCTCACTGCCCCAACTGGTGAAGACTGTCATGGTGCAAGTACAACAAGGCTGTTGCCAAGCAGGAGACTCCTCCGAATCATCGCTACAACCTGCCGGAGTACGTGGTTGATGCCTTGCGGCCTATTTACACGCGCCTCTCTGACAAGAAATTGCTGGAGCGTTGTCAGCGAGGCAAAACACAGAACCCAAACGAAAGCCTGCACTCTGTCATCTGGTCGCTCGTGTCCAAAAACAAACACGCTTCGCTTTTCACCGTTGAAGCTGCTGTGGCCGAAGCTGTCGCAAGGTTCAACGCTGGCAAAGGGAGAGCAGATGCCGCCATATTGAAGGAGCTGCACCTGCAGCAGAGTGTTGTGGCCGCTGAAAGATGCTCAGAAAAGGACAGTCCCCGACTAGTGGCATCGGAGAACTGAAATGCTGAAAACTTCAAGCATGCCATGAAAAGAAAGCGTACCAAGGAGAATGATGATGACTACATTTCTGGTGGCTTCTAACATGGTTAATAGTTCGATTCACACCTTTTCTTGTTAAATATAAGTGCTCAGCATGTTCCTAAACTTCTTTTCTCGTTTTCTCAAAACAACATTTTTCATCACACCCTAAGCCATTGCCCACAGTATCTTTTGATGTAGCAGTCGGATTTTGATAATTCTTGCAGCATTTGAAATTATACATTGATTAGTGCAAGAAAACCAAAAAATTTTATATTTTTATTTACAATAGTGATTTAATTAGCAACAAACTTAAGCAACAGTTTCAGATTTCTAATGAGTATACTTGTTAAGGCCATAACTCTGGTACCAATGAAGCTAAAAATAAAATTATGGTTTTGTTGCACTCCTTGGCCTTCATGGAATGCTCTCATCAAATTTGTAGCAATATTTTATGAGGAAGATGTCAAAAGGCTGGGCAGAATGCAAGTTTATGTAACAATCAATATTTAAAAAATCTAGAAGTGATAGCAAAAAACTAATTGCATATTTGTTTTCAGCTGTGAAAAACACATAGTGTATTAAAATTTCAGCTGGAAATACTGAAAATTAAAAAAAAAATTTCAGACCAGTGTCTCCCCTTAATCTCATCTGCCCACCTAACCTTCTGTCTCCCCTGAACCTGCTTGCCTTCTCTGGAAATCCAGTCAGTTACCCTTAATGACTAGCGGTTATCCTGTCTACGCGCTACATGCCCGGCCCATGTCCATTTCCTCTTCTTGATTTCAGCTATGGTATCCTTAACCCCCGTTTGTTCCCTAATCCACTCAGCTCTCTTCTTGTCTCTTAAGGTTACACCTACCACTTTTCTTTCCATTGCTCGCTGCGAGGTCCTCAATTTAGGTCGAACCCTCTTTGTAAGTCTCCAGATTTCTGCTCCGTAGCTAAGTACCGGCAAGATACAGCTGTTATATACCTTCCTCTAGAGAGATAGTGGCAAACTACCTGTCATAATTTGAGAATGCTTGCCAAATGTGCTCCACCCCATTCTTATTTTTCTAGTTACTTCAATCTCGAGGTCTTGCTACACGATTATTACCTGCCCTAAGTAGACAGTCTTTTACAACTTGAAGTGCACTATTGCCTATCTCGAAGCGCTGCTCTTTTCAGAGGTTGTTGTACATTACTTTCGTTTTCTGCAGATTCATTTTAAGACCCACCTTTCTGCTCTCATTGTCTAACTCCGTAATCATGAGTTGCAATTCGTCCCCTGAGTTACTCAGCAATGCAATGTCATCGGCGAAGCGCAGGTCACCAAGGTACTCTCCATTAACTCTTATCCCTAACTGTTCCCATTCTAGGCTTTTAAAAACCTCCTGTAAGCACGTGGTAAATAGCATTGGGGAGATTGTGTTCCCCTGCCTTACACCCTTCTTGATTGGTATTCTGTTGCTTTCTTTATGAAGCACTATGGTAGCAGTTGATCCCCTGTAGATTTCTTCCAGGATGTTTATATATACTTTATCGACGCCCTGATTCCGCAGTGTCTGCATGACAGCAGATATTTCTACTGAATCAAACGCCTTTTTGTAATCTATGAAGGCTATGTATAGTGGTTGGTTATATTCTCAGCATTTCTCCATTACCTGATTGATAGTATGAATGTGGTCGATTGTTGAGTAGCCTGTTCGAAATCCTGCTTGTTCCTTTGGTTGATTGAATTCTATTGTTTTCTTTACTCTGTTAGCAAATACCTTTGTAAATAGCTTGTATACTACAGAGAGCAAGCTGATTGGCCTGTAATTCTTCAAGTCCTTGTCATCTCCTTTCTTATGTATTAAGATGATATTAGCGTTAAGACTCTGGTACTCTTCCCGTCAGGAGACATCTCGTAAACAGGGTGGCTAGTTTTTCTAGCACAATCTGTCCTCCATCTTTCAGCAGATTTGATGTTACCTGATCCTCACCAGCAGCTTTGCCTCTTTGCATGCTCTCCAAAACTTTTCTGACTTCTTCTATCATTACTGGTGGGGTGTCATCTGGGTTACTGCTAGTTCTCATAGTATTAAAGTCGTGGTTGTCCCCGCTACTGTACAGATCTCTGTAAAACTCCGCCGCTATTTCAACTATCCTATCCATATTGGTAGTTATTTTGCCTTCTTTGTCCCTTAGTGCATACGTCCGATTTTTGCCTATACCAAGTTTCCTCTTCACTGCTTTGACGCTTCCTCCGTTTTTCAGAGCGTGTTCAATTGTCTCCATGTTATACCTTCTTACATTGCATACCTTATGCCTACTAATCAACTTTGAAAGCTCTGCCAGTTCTATTTTGTCTGTTGTACTTGAGACTTTCATAATTTGACGCTTCTTAATAAGATTCTTCGTTTCCTGGGAAAGCTTGCCAGTGTCCTGTCTAACTGCCCTGCCTCCAACTTCCACTGCACACTCCGTAATGATACTCGTCAGATTATCATTCATTGTATCTACGCTAAGGTTGGTTTCCTCACTAAGAGCCGAGTACCTGTTCTGAAGCGAGACTCTGAATTCCTGTACTTTCCCTCTCAGTGCTAGCTCATTGATTGGCTTCTTGAGTAGCAGTTTCTGTCGTTCCTTTTTCAAAACTAGGCGAATTCGAGACCGTACCATTCTATGGTCACTGCATCGTACCTTGCCAACCACTTCCACATCCTGCACGATGCCTGGGTGTGCACTCATTATAAAGTCTATTTCGTTTTTATTTTCACCATTAGGACTCCTCCATGTCCACTTGCGGTTTCCTCGTTTTCGGTAGAAGGTATTCAAAACCCGCAGATTGTTGCGTGCAGCGAATTCTACTGGTAGCTCTTTTCTGGCGTTTCTAGTACCCGACGCCATATTCTCCTACTGCCTGGTCTCCAGCCTGCTTCTTCCCTACCTTTGCGTTAACGTCTCCCATCAGTATAGTATACTGTGTTTTTACCTTACTCATTGCCGATTCCACGTCTTCAGAGAAGCTTTCAACTGAAGCGTCATCATGGCTGGATGTAGGCGCGTAAGCCTGTACCACCTTCATCTTGTATCTTCTATTCAGTTTAATTACGATACCTACCGCCCTTTCATTAATGCTATAGTATTCTTCTATGTTGCCAGCTATGTTTCTGTGAATTAGGAAGCCCACTCCCAGTTCTCTTCTGTCAGCCAAGCCCCTATAGCAAAGGACGTGCCGATTCTGTAGTACCGTATAGGTCTCATCTGTCCTCCTAACCTCACTGAGCCCTATTATATCCCATTTAACACCCTCTAGCTCTTCGAATAGTACAGCTAAACTTCCCTCACTAGATAAGGTTCTAGCGTTAAACGTTGCCAAGTTCAGGTTCTAATGGCAGCCTGTCCGGATCCAGAGATTCTCAGCACCTTCTGCTGCGTTGCAGATCTGACCGCCGCCGTGGTCAGTTGCTTTGCAACTGCTGGGGACTGAGGGCCGTGAGTTATTTGACGTATGCATGTGGGAGGTAGTGGCCAAATACTGCACCAGGGTGGCCGATCCTTCTCTGGTGAGGGAGTGCGTTCTCGGCGGTGGTTGCCGGTGAGGCCGCACCCCAGGCCTCTTAATGCAGTTCCATCAACACGCAGATTTTTTTTAATCCGGTTGGGAACTGCGCGGCACCAGGATTTGAACCACGGACCTTTTGCATGCGAGGCGGATGACCTAACCACTACGCCATCGCTGCACTTTACGGTTGTCAAACACTACAAGGTTGTCAAAAATGTGCCGTGAAATTAGCTACAAAATAGCAAGAATTCTTTGTTCTCATTCTCTCAGAGTCACTTCGGAGCAGGTTTGGAGTAATTACAAACAAAAATTACTGTTTGGAGCAGCATTTCTTTTTCAAAGCAGCTTGGAGCAATTAGAGCAGCACTTCCATCACTGGTGGTTACACATTTATTAGGCCAGTTACACTAAATTAGAAAGAGAAGCACACATGGCCATTCATCACATAGGAGTTCTGGGCAGTAACAAACTTACATTTGTTGGAAAGGCTTCCGAATTTCTCATTAGCCACATCGCAGATTTTCGTTTATCTTTTATTCACCTCAAAGCAAAGACAATCAGATTCACATGGTTCTTCTTGTTCGCCAAATGCGACAACGGCAAGGCAAGATTTTACTCACGTTTTTGCTGGACTTGTACTCTCTCTCAGGCTCAGGGCTGTTACGTCGAGTGTTACGTGGTGATTTTGTGGCTGCAACAAATGAGAGAAAAAAAAATCAACTCGGTGTTAAACAACTGCTCCTGTGTCCATGCTTGAAGAAAAAGTATAGGGATGCACTCAAAACCTCTACCAGCCCATCGCAACGAGGCCACCAGCTGAATGTTGCAGGTCACAAACAATGCCACATTGTGAGCATCAAGCTTTGTAAGAGGCACATGGCACCACCAATGAAAAGGCACCGTCGGTGCAGGGTATGGTGTGCTAGTCCACATCCAAGTAGAATGCTAACAAGTCGAGCCAAACTGCCAGGACCTAGAGTGTGCCGACGAAGTAAATGAAGCATACTTTTGCAATAGATACAGTGTTAGGAACATACCTCTAACGAATTTTCGAATATAAAAAATTTATTTTCATGTAACATTTGAGTATACAGCAAAGTGCCGTGAAAAAGTACTGCAACACACAACTGCTCACCATTGTTACTCCTGTCTGCCTCTCGCTCGGTGCCTCGGCTGAGCTCGCCCGAGTGCGAACGCAGCAGGTGTAGAATGGCCTCTCGCGTGTCTCTGTCCTGGCGCCAGGCGGCCTCATCTATGTCGTCCGTTGGCTGCGGCTTGGCTTCGGAGTTTGCACCGTCAGCAGCCGGAGCGCTGTCCGTCGAACCACCAGGCTGCTGCTGCTGTTGCTGCCCAGAGGTAGTTCGCTTGCTAGGCTTTGTATTCGTCCAGCTTCTCCTTGGTCTTGGCATCCACTTTCACCTGGCGGAAGAAGACTTAAATGATCAGCCGGTCTCGCAACTCTTCGAAAAGCGCAGAAACCGCTCTACTCTGCAATACCCCAGACACAGAAATAGCTTTGGCCATGGTTAAGCTAACTATGGTTATCACTAGCCATGGTTAGAGATAGCTACACGGCAGATCTAACTGCACTTAGACACAAAACCATGGTTAGTGCAAACCAAGCTAGGCAAGTGTGGCTTATCCTCGCAAACTAAGAAGCTGACAAGATGGCAGCTAATATGAATACAGTTAAACCTCCATATAACGAATTCCTGGACATAATGACGTATTTCGCTTCCCCGCCGTCTTTCCATAGGAGCACATGTATTTGCGACCTCTATGTAACAAAGCAACTGCGGGAGACAACCTTAATATATAAAAAATTTTCCCTACGAACAATATTAGAATTTTGCTCCGAATTTCGGCATTTTGGCACGAGCATGCATCTTCTGCCGCTGCCCCGCCACCACCGAAGCGGTAACGGCAAGCAAGCGGGCCGCGTCCACATGAGGCGGGCCTGCACCTTAGGAGCAGGCGTTGCCCCCTTTCTCGCAGCACCGGTAGCATGCGCGGTTCGGCCCCCCCCCCCCCCCCCAACCAAAATATTTAAAAAAAACTACTTTTACCCATTGGCAGTGCCACGCTTTTAGTTAGCGTCACATGTGTGGGCCGCGCTGCATATAAAGGGTCGCTTTACCGAATAGTTTCCAGCGGCAACCGTGTCTGTGTCCATGTCGTTCACTCTGTTTTCAACGGCGTGCGTGCGTGCATAGTTTCACTGCTCCGGCATGGTGTGTCCCCCGACAATGTTCAGCTTTGCTTTTTTTTTTTTATTGCGATAGCAATGATGTATATGGGCAGTTTCGGCTGGGTTTTTTCCGCCGCCGCCTTCATTCACCATATATGTTCACGATAAATTAATTCTACAGCTTGTAAACACAGGAATAACAGGATTGTTAATTTCTTGGGTTGCTGCATATCTGACAAACCGGCATCAATTCGTGGAAATTGATGGTGGAAAATCGGGCTCACTTCCAGCCACATCAGGTGTGCCACAGGACAGTGTCCTCGGCCCTCTCCTTTTTATTATATACATTAATGACATTGTTAATATGGTTGAAGTAGGTGTCCAGGTTAGATTATTTGCCGATGATTGTGTGCTTTTTAAAGACATTAATTCTATCAATGATCAAATTAGCTTACATAATAGTTTAAGTAATATTCTTGAATAGTGCAGGCACTGGGGAATGACACCAAACACCGACAAAAGCGTACTAATGCAAATGACAGATAAGAAATCACCTTTGATTCATACGTATAAATTAGGTTCATTCCCCATGCATGAAGTAACCCAATACAAATATCTAGGAGTCACCTTTAAACCATTAACATGGAATGGGCACATGAGTAAAACTTGCTCCTCAGCCTTCAGAAAATTATGCCTCCTGAGGCACAAACTTAAAAAACCACCTTCCGACGTAAAACTGCTATGTTGTAACACCTTAATCAGAACCAAACAAGAGTATACATGTATTGTTTGGGATCCGTATACAAAAAGTAGTATCAATAAGCTCGAAAGAGTGCAGCAAAAGGCAATCAGATTTATATTTTACAAATTCTCAAAACAGGATTCACCCGCAGAACTTATGAATGCTAAGAACATTCAACCACTCGATATCAGAAGACAGAAACACAGACTAGCATTTCTTAAACTAGTTTACATCTGTCGCCGCTATTAACCCGTACCACTCGTCACCGTAGACAAGATGCAATAACACCCTACTTGGCGTGAACGAACACATTTAAAAATTATTTTTTCCCTCGTACAATAACTGAATTGAATTGTGTAATCGAATCGACACCAAAATGCTGATTATTATTAATTTGTTTGTATAGCGTTTCGCCAAACGTATTGACTCTATTCCTGTATTAGTGTTCTTGTTCCGTTTGTTCTTTTTGTTTTTGACATGTTCACTGTTTTACCATTTGATTTGCCCTCCCTGCTTGGACTACGTGTACGCAGTATTTGATAATTAAATGAATATGTATAGTATATATATACCTACCTATATATATATAAAAACTCAAGAAAAAAAAAAGTTACCCACGCTCGGCGCTCAGCTTGTCATGATAGGCCGACAAGCGCTTATCTCCCACGCTTATCTCCCACTGGTACTTTGCCCCAGGAATGTGAAGAGGGAAGAGGGGGTTAGATGCTTGTGCCCCCAAGCGCTTATCCTTCAGCAGGGAGAATCGCACGCATACTATGGGAACCACTGCATTTGCTCTTTTCACATGGTCCCTTCGCATTGAAACAGCATTGATACTCGCCGAGATAGCAAGCGCCCCAGGATCGCAACCGCCCTTAAAATTCAAGTTCATTGTGCTACTCGAGCGATTCCCCCCCCCCTCTTTGTTTCATGCTGCGTTTAAGACAGGTGGTTTACTTTTTTTGAGCATTCGAATGGCAGTTCTAACACGGGGGAGATGTTATGCACTTTCCAGGCGATGAGGAGGGCCGACTCATGTGACCTCTGCTTCAGCAAGCGCTCGCGCGCTGTTACCCACGCTTGTGAAGGTTACAATGCGTGGGGGCATGTTGTCAATTGGACTTGTTGCTGAACATGGCGGTGACAGCAGAACTTGCCGATAGTGTCCATAAAATTGTTATCACAATAATAACGCAGTTTTTTACTGCAAAAATGAGGTGTTTAGGGTTAGCTCTGCCTTCAGACCTCTTTTGTTTAATTTGAGCGTTTATTTTCAGAATTTTCGTACTGAACCTGCATATAACGAAACCTTTTCATAACAAATTTTTCTGGGAATTTATCCATTTCGTTATATCCAGGTTTAACTTAGCACATCAGCCATGAAACGATGCGAGTTTATAGGGAGCTTCAAGTTGTTTGAGGATTTCAATGGAAGAGACTCCAGACGTGGAAAACGAGATTCGCTGTGGGATGGCTTTATGCGACAAATCGATACACTGTCACTGAAAGGTGCAGGAGGAGCCACTACGATAGCAAAGGCTTTTTTTTGCTCAATCAGGGATTCATTGTAATTACATTTCATCCACAGCATGTCTAAAACCTTTGTATATTATTGTTTTACCAGAAAAAGTACGAATAATAGCACATGCCAGGCCAGAAACACATCCAGAGTGAGCAAACGTAAAATGCTTGCAACAACAAGAGCTCACCACTAGTTTCTTGTCTCCAATCTCCCAGTCATGCAGGATACGAATAGCCCTCATGGCCGACTCGGGATCGCCGTACTCGCAGAAGCCAAAGCCTGCAAGAATCCAAAAGTCAATCCACGACACACATTGCGTGACAGCTGCCGGGGAATCAGCAGCGTCGGCTGTGTGTCTTACACACCTTGGAGCCAGCCGTTGGCACCCTGCACTCTCTTCCAGCTGACCACGGGACCACACCGCTGCGCAAAGCGAGAACGCAACGACAGAACTCAGGAAAATGCCCATGACAGAGACTGTACGCATCAAATGGCTTTAGGCAACCAACCCCACAAACCTGAAGAATGAGCCTGATGAGGTTGTCGGGACGCTCGCTCAGTGATGTTTCCCACAAAGACCGTGACAGGAGGACCTTTGAGGTGTTCTCATGCTGCTACAATATTTAAAAAAGCCATTTTACCATTAGCAACTTTGCATGCAACACGCATTTAAAAAATGTTTGTTTCCTTCTTGATAACTTTTCATGAAACTCCAGGAGTTAATGCATTTTATTGTGCTAATTTCAAACATATAATTTTTTTTTTTTTTTGAATAATGCACAGCTTGTAAAAGGCAACATATTTCATGTGCTTCATAGAGAAAGATATTTTTGTAAAGTGGCCAAGTTAGAAAGTAAGTAAGCATACTCCAAGATCTGGTGTGGAAAATGTGTGCAGTGGAACAAAAGTGCATGTTCTAAACCCACCATAACAAAACAAAAGTTTACGTTGCGTTAAACCTTTGCCAGTGAAATCCCAGCTTGAAATTGACTCCCTAGCAAATGTTCAACATACCATACCTTTTATTCAAATTGCTTTAGAGCACCTAATTTTGCTGCACTGCACACAGTTTCTCGTTCCAGATTATTGGGACACGTTGATATACCCTGTAACTTGGTCTAGGAAAAACCTTGCTCCCCAATCTAAAAATAGAATATTTTGAATTTTAAAGGCTGCACATTATAGCTGAAAAACAATTGCACATTTGAAATAAGCACAAATATACATGAACTCTGCGAGTTTAATCAAAACACACCCAATAAACACATAGAATATGTTGTACAATAGCAACTGCACATACTATAAAAGTAACTGCATTTGAAATCAGCACAAATACAGTTGAACTCCGCTACAGCCAACGCCACTACAAGAAAAAGTTTTCGGTTCCCTGTCAGCAACCCATAGGAGCCAGTGCATGAATATTCTCAACACAATAAACACTTTTTCTTCTGCCATTCCACTTCAACGAAAGTCGATGATGCAGTTTCCGTCTCGAATATTTATTGCTGTAAACACAATCTTGAACATTTTTGATGCATTTTTAGAACATAAAGATACACCCACAAAGTTTAAAATGCGCATTGGCACCACTGGAAACCGCCGCCGCTTACTAAGCATACTAACCTCCGTATTCTAGAACGTCCCTTCACTCAACGCTCCACCTTCACTTGAGAAAGCTGATGGGAGCGCCGTCTCTAGTCGCGACAAGTCGCTGCATATCAGCAATAATCTGCTGTGATTCTTGAGTAGCGCAGCGCCATTTTTAGCCGAGCGGCGGCGCAGTGCTCAACTCTGTGAAGTGAAGGGGAAACGTCGAGTCGAGGAGCGTTTGTGAATACGGGGTAAGCATGGAGGCCGCCATCGCTTGATGATAATGATGACAACGAGACTGCCACGCTTTCGTCACTGGCTTGCTTCCGAGTCGCAGACAATTAGAAGCTAAAGCTTAGTTTCCTGCGCACTGCTGCTAGGTGCAATCGCAGAATGGTGGCTTTTTGATGCCACTGCTTTTGGTTATTTTCGCACTTGGCCAGTATGGTCAACGAGTAAAAGTGGCTGTTCTTTCGCAACATCAACAAGATAAGCTAGCCACTACTAGTGGATGATAAGAATAGGATAGAATAAGGCATCAGTCACTGTTCTACATACCATGCCTGCATCTCAGTGTTGTCGGATACCTTTTGACGGCCGACATCTGCTTGTGTTACCGCGGTAGTGCAACTGCTAGGTTCGTTTACGAAAGCCGTTGTGGCCGTTATTTTCGCGTCCTTGTTAACGTGGTGTCACTAAGTATGTGTGAGAATCCCGTCTCGACACTGCTGGGAACAAAAAAAGGAAACAGCCGACACTTTCCGAATTTAGGCATTAAAGATGTGTTTTGCTAGCTGAAGTCGGTTATATTTTTCTTTCGATGTCACTACAATAAAATTTTCACTTCAGCAAAATTTTTTTCGCGTCCCATCAGTTTCGTCGTATCAGGGTTCGACAAACTCTGGAATCTTATTGAAAAAATAAATAATTTAGTAAATCAGCAGCTACATGGCGTGAATATGGGGGAATGGCGTCATGAATGAAGGAACACCCACATGTGAGAAACAGCTTAACACACTCTTTCTTATGCATTACAAAATTGTGCAGCAATGGAATGAGCAAACAACTTGCTAGCACAATGTAAAATCAGTGGTCTCACATCATCTCCAGCAGTGCGAAATCTTATGATGTCCAAATGAAAGAACAAGAAAAACCAAAAACGTCAAAGAAACACAGAGCAAAAATAAATGTTCTCAAATTGATAAACTAGTCACTCAAAATCCCGCAATCACCATACTTGCCGCGGCTGCGCCAGAATCGGTATCGACGGGGGCACCGTCACGGCCACATGTGCCATCATCTGAAAATGCAAAAAAAAAACAGCACTGTAGGTGAACAACACTGCCATGCCCGCACTTTACCTACATCACTGGCATTTCGACTCTGTAACGGGAGCAACCTGTGACCACAGCAAAGGACCAATTTGCGACAGCAAGACTGAGACACTCACCGGTGGCATCACGCCCATGGCCATAGGTATCATGCCTCCTGGGACTGAAAAAAACGAATAGAATACGATTAACAAACTGACAAATCATCAGTAAGAATGGTGCATGAAACTGCAGCAGCCACATGAGGCAAAGCAGAAAACAAGAACATGCAAGACAAACAGCCGGCAGGGACTCATCTTTTACTGCCTAAGATGACCAAAAAGCATGCCAAGAAAAACATTGCACCAAACTCTCTGAACTAGAGACGTTGCACGATGCATCTTCTACGAAGAGACTTGCAAATAGCGATGTGCACATCTGAAGACTTGCCTCCCTTAGGCAGTTCAGTCTTTCTAGCCAATCAGTTTTGACTTCTCTCAACACGACCTAATACGGTGGTGTTACACGGTCACTTTTAATAGTAATCGGGCCCAATTGGAATTGGAGTGCTACTGCCCAGCTAGCTGTAATTGCTATAATGCCGAACCCTACGCTATCGCTTACACTCCTCTGAAACGCATTTGTAGTCATGGCACCACACGGTTCTGATAGCTGCCAACAATTCCTATTAGCTTGTGATGAACCATAATGACCAATACAAGGCGATATTTACTCGAAGATCTGGTGGAGTTCTGTAGCAGTTTCTTTACGACATAGACAAACTAGAGAACTGCGGTGGATCTACTATATATAACCTGGTTGCAGGAGATCATACAAATAGGACTGTCGTGACCATGCGGCAGATACATTCAAACCTTGATACAACAAATGCAGATATAATGAAATGATGGTTATCATGAATTAAATTAAGACTGGTCTAGCAATAGACCCAGTGCTAGGAATATACCCTTATAACAAATTTTTTGATATATGTCATGAGTAAGAGGGCACGAGGCACGTGCCATGTACTGGAATGCAGCGCTCGTGCGCGAGACCCCCCAATGGTGCGAATGCGTGCCACATCCACGTACGAGATTGGACAAGAAGGCTCGTGGCACGGGATCCGAGCAGTAATAGGAATCCCGGAGGATAAGCCGTCACTGTGCTGTGGAGCTTCGCACTGCGAAGGTCAGGAAGGTCAGAGTCTCTACAGTGATGAAAGCACCAGCCGACCTCAGAGGTCCTGAGTGAGGCTGCCTGGACTTGCCGCAACCTGGCACTGCAGTTCCTGGGGGGAGTACAGCTCTTCCACTTCAAGCCAGAACGAATGCGGCCCATACCAGTCATCAGAGGAAGTCATCAATGAGGCCATTGACGAGTCGGGTTTGACCAAGCGAGCCAAAGATGACGGATAAGACCGGGACACCGGCAATGAAGAGAATGGCACATTGGGCGGAAACTACCGATAATGATTGTAGAAGCTTGAGGAGGACGTCAATGACAGAACAACGGGATGAACTGTGTAAGAACGCTTTGTTGCCGAAATGCCATTTTGGCTAGAGAGAGATTAGGGCTAAGGATTGAATGTGACACGAATTGAAGTTTGTTCTGGTTTCACTTGTTATTGTGTGTGTGTGTGTGTGTGTGTGTGTTTCTTCTTTTGCGGTTTAAGCGTTTGTTCAGATTTTCGACAGTTTGATATTAAGATGGGTTTGCCGCGTTACTGCCGACTCGCGTGTCTCTTTCAACTCCATCCGCTGCAAGCGCTCCCGAGATAAATCGTGACAATATAACGATATTATTTTTTGCTTCCGATGTAACTTCGTTATAATGAGGTTTGAGTGTACCACACTGGTCGCATTCAAAAATCAATCAACAGGCTCCAACTTTTTTTTTTTTGCAACCCCTAAAGAAGCTTGGCAATTCGTAGAGTTAGACCGCGGTGATCACGTTTTTCAAATACTATTACAGCGCTGCACGTCATGCAGAGCTACCATATAGAAAAACAATTCTCGTGCTCGTTTCCTACGCCTGACCAATCCTCCTTTCATGTGCAGTGATGCAAGGTTGCCAACTAGCGACTTGACGTAGCATGCAGCTCGTCGATTGGTCTTAACCAGTACAACAAAATGCTGCACCTTTCCCTCCCTGTTAGGAAGAAGGGTAACGAGGCCGCGCAAAAATGTGAAAGCAGCCAAAACAGCTGTGCTAACACCTGTAACTTCCTTAATATAGCATGCATTCGCAAAATTTTTACAGCAACACGTTCACATAAGTCCTCATATTTCTCTAGTTTTTGAACCTCTGAATTGTTTACTAGCCTTTTAAGCAAACTTAAGCAAACGCATCTGGACGTGTCTCACCAAAGCTAAAGCGTGTGACACCAGGAGTTATATTTTTGCTACAAAATTTATTTCTGCTGCTGAGCTTTATTGGGCTACAAGAATAAAGCTTAGCCAAAGCTACACTGCAAGCACAATCTGCAGAGGCACTCTTATCAATTGCACTCATATGCCACTAATGTACAGAAAGAATACAAACATGTGCAGCTTCCAAAACGGTGTTGTTAGGCTTCGTGGGGCGTGACCACGCAAGACAGACAGGAAAAAAAAAAGGGGGGCTTCTTTCCACTTGCACGTCTCTCGACCACATCACATTGTAAGAGACTCAGATTCCTGTTATCTAGAAATGGCAGGTGCATCGCTTAAAAGCACCGCTCACACTGGTCGGCTTAGGGAACGTACATTGAAAGCACACAGCAAAACCAGCAAGCATGCAGATAAAAGAAAATGAACAGACGAGTGGTAATGTGCAGCGATGTTTCACTATCTAGCAAAAACCGAAAGCCATGCATCAACAAATTAAGCATGCATAAACACACGCTAAAATAAAAAATGTGGCCGTATTGAAACCAGTCAAGAGCAAAGCTGCATTATCGGTTTCGGCTAAAGTTGTCAGCCTTCCCTCCGCTGCAGACGATCCATTTGGAAATGATCGCTTCTGGAGATGCCGCTTTTAGTGCACGAATCGGTTGTTTGAACAGAGGTGCACAAGCAGCTGCCTCAATCATTGGACACAAAAGATTATCTCTTAGTGAAAAGCAATCAATTACTGGGTCTGAGAGATTACACTTCACGAAAAACATTCAATCCTCCAACACTCGAGACGATGAGTCACACAAAGCAGATCGTCTCAGAATATGACCACTGGACCAAAGGCTCACCCAACAAGTTTCAATTTACCCAAGTCTTGCGCAAGCTGGCTTCATTTTATATTGGCAAATTTATCAAACTTTGCTACCCACTGCACTGCTCAAACCGACTATCGGTTATTTTTCCTATGCATTTACTGCATTTATTGATATAATAACAGTACTACTACAAGGTACTACTACCGCTGCTAACCTAACACCACAGCAATACTAATGCATTGACAAACCAGCACGAAACACACATGAAGCATATATGCGGCACTCAAACCAAACCACCGCAATAAGATCATTTCTTTCTAAAACAGAAAAACCCAAAGCTCTTGGGCAGACATGCAAGAAAGGTAATAAACAAAAGCTAAAGCATTCAACAACCTCACGTATTACTTGTGGAGAACACACTTGAGAGTACACACAGTGCATGACACAGCATAAAAAAATAAGTGGCGAGAGAAGAAAAACAGCATGCAAAAATGTTGCCGGTGGCTACTGACCCAAGTTATTATTCATTACGTCGTCTGCCATAGCAGCAGGGCAAAAGGCAAACAACGACATCAGGAACAGTAACAAGAAAACAACGACAGGTTTGTTCGCAACAGCAGTGCAAGATTATGCTTCATAATAAGTGGGCAACAATGATGTCTTTAAAAGCACTGAAATTTGGGCGAGCTTGTACTTGAACATGGTGGTATTCAAGGCATCTAAACAGACAAGAAACAAAAAGAGAAGGGCTCGTCTCTTGTCTTTTATTTCTTGTCTGTTTAGCCACTATGAATACCAACAGGGCTTCTTCAGCGCAATGGACTCAATACCAATCAGTCATAATTTCTTTGCACGACAATAATGCATCGCATGACACTTCACGACCATCCAATCTTGGTGATAACGTGTCATTAGTGACGACATGAAAAGAAAATGAACTGATTTTCGCAAGCCTTGCTTTCACCGCAGCAACACCTCATACTGCTCTTCCAAGCGGGGAATTTTTTAAATGCAAGCTGTTGATACAATTAGTTGACGAAGACAAAATTCTTTGAAGAAACATATGAGTAAATGCCTGTAAAAAGAATTTGCCTAAGAATTACAGCGTTGAAAATTGTTGCAGTAATACCAGTAATTTGCAGCTCTAATATACGTTCTTGCGTGCGAAATCGTAAATAACGGCACAACGAAAAAATAAAGGCAGACGTCTTTGAAACAGCCAATAATGAACATGTCATTCGTAGCAGAGTTTCACAATACCACAGGTGGATACGAAGTGTCGATTACATAAATCTGTATTTCGCACAACAGCGACATGCGCTTAAACTTCAGGTATAATGACAGTGAGTCAGATGTATTCCTTGTCTACAGGGACGACGTGTGGGCAATATAGATAGTGTGCACGTGCGTCACGCAGCACCTCTTCGTCACTTCTGAAATGCACCACCGACATGCCCGGGTACCTACCGACTCCGTCTCCTACCGCTGCCGCGTTGTCTCCTCGTGCTTGCGCCCATTTAGTTCTGCCTCACGATGCAAGTTTGAGGGCTGCTAGTGAGGCAAGTTGATTTAGTAGTCACCGAAGAGAGAGCAGAGCTTCAGGGTGTTTCTTCGCCGAAAGTTGTTACCCAAAATTGAGAACGCACATTGTGATTTTCCGAAAAGTACCGGCGTGTTTGGCTGGCGCCGATTAACAAAAAAAACTACTCAAAGAAACTCTGTAATATTTGCGTCTTCAAGTGTAACTTCATTCCGGGTAAGTGCCATAGCCAAGCACTTACCTGCAAACAGAGATAGCTTACCAAGATACTGTACATACAAACTTGTCCGCGGACACTGCGTGCACAATCAGCGTGTCAGGGAGGCGGTTAAAATCGTGAGGATTATCGCGGAAATTCGGGTATTGCATTGAAACAAACTGTGAAAATGGATGTGAAACAATATTAGTTTTCTTCGAAGTATAGCTAATTAGTTCAAGTTGCGGGGGGGGTCAGGATTTTGAAAAATTGGTTAATTAATTCTCTAACACGATCTCCATCATTTTCAGGGACTCCACTGTACATTAGCGTACAAAAAAAGTAAAATACAAGGTGAAAAAGATGTCAAAACATACACGAAAAAAAAAAAGTAATGACCGGCATTACCACGGCACACACCACGCAAAGTCTCTATCTGCCTCGCAGAATATTTTCCTCAGCTGTTTCCACAAATTTAAATCAAATAGGCTCAACATCAGCACTGTTTAAAACACTAGGGGGGGGGGGGGATGCTGCTACTTTGGTGGCGTGGGCCGCAGCAATATAATAATATTAATATTATATCTCTTGTAAACTTGCCTAGCTCTGCAAGACTCGTTTTCGATGGGAGCTGCTGCGCTTCACTCATCCACTCTTAAAATTGGGGCTCGAGAGACTTTGGACTTTCACTTGTTCTTGGGCCACGGAATTTGTGGTGTTTGTAGTGAAAGCGATATAATGGGCCCTCGTAGGTCGTGGCGGGCAGCCGGTGTACGCGGTGGCTGGTATACGTGTCGCACCTCTTGATTTTCTTGTCTTGCATAGAGTGAACAAACGAGGCCTTCCTGATCTGATGAGCTCGTTAAAGTATGACAACAAAAAAACACAATGCTTCCCTTTCAACATCGTACACAGCAACAGATAACGAGCCCCCCACAAACCGCGCTGCAGCACGCGAACTGCTGTAGGTACCCAGGGAGGTACCCAGGCTTGGCGGGAGATGGTGACAACGGCGAAGTGACATCACATGAACACTATGTATAGCGAATTGTTTAAGTCGCACATCAGCTATACTATTTTAAATTTATTAAACTCCTCTAAGCCAAAAGGCACGTCACACAGTTCGGTCATCTCGCCGCTACTTTTCAATGTGGCCATGATCAATCTGCCAAGAATTCTGGACAAAATACCAGATTTACGGCACGCGATCTATGCTGATGACATCACACTCTGGACCAGGGCTTTGAACACTGGTAGACGAGAAACCTGTCTACAAACCACCGTAGATACCACCAAACGGTACCTTTGAAACTGTGGTCTCTGCTGTGCCCCCGAGAAATCCGAGCACCTCGTCCTCAAAGCGAGAACAAGAGGCAGACCTCCTCTATACGACAAGCCCGAACCTAGCGTAACACTGAATGGGACATTGATTCCAATAGTCGAGACTCTGCTAGTGCTTGGAGTTCACATCTACAAGAATGGATCGGGAGCTGCGACCCTACCGAGAACCGACACTATCACAACTCGTGTACCTCGTCAAGAGGATCACGAACAAACGAAACGGATTCGAAGAGCCCGACACGCTACCTATAATGCAAGCTCTGTTCACCAGCCGCATTACGTACGGCACGCCGTACCTGAATTCGAAAGCAGCTGAAGTAGCCCTGGGACTTCCCCCAATGGCCTCTACCACACGTCTCCTAAAGATGGGCGTCCACAACACGTGACAAGAGCTCGCAGAAGCACATAAGAACAGCCAGCTGGAGAGGCTCAAGCTGACACCCACAAGGAGGTCGGTGCTCCTGTACCTCAACTACAGCGACACGTTCATCGCCGATGCAGACCGGAGAAAGCGCATCCCGTTATACGTTAGAGAGTTGCTGCCTATCGCGCCTATTCCATGTAACATGCATCCTACTTTCCACAAAAGTGGACACAAGGCTAGAGCTGACGCTATTCAACAAAAGTTCAAGCAAAACCGGACGCCCGCTACACTGACGCGGCTAAGTATCTGCATAGAAACCCGTACGCTGTCAGCGTCGTAGATTCTCAAGGCCTAGAATTAGCGTCGGCCACGGTCAACGCACTCAATTCAGACGCAGCAAAAAAATCGGCGATCGCTCTCGCAACCACCACATGTACAGACGCTGCGGTGATCTTCACCGGCTCGCAAGCTGCTTGCAGGAATTTTCCTAAGGGCCGTATGTCAGCCAACGCCATCATTATTTTGAAACGGTGAAGTACTCCACTCCCATACACTTGTGTATTATGGCTGCCAGGTCACAAGGGTCTGCAGCGAAATGAAGCGACCCACGCCGCTGCCCGTGAGCACGTCAGCCGGGCTGCCCCCTGCCCACAGGACATCCGACCCGTCGTAGAAGAGACGGAGGTTGTTCAAAACGCCCATTCGTCGTTACTCCAGCATTACAGGCTAGAGTGACGAGTATACCCTCCACCACACCAAAAACCAACGAAAGAGGAAAGCATGATACTGAGACGCCTGCAAAGCAACACATACGCACATGGGGCCCTAATGCACCATCTCTACCCAATGAGATATAGCTCTATGTGCCCGCCCTGCAGCGTACCGGACACCCTGGCACACTTGCTTCTTGAATGCCAGTGCATTACCAGAGGTAATCTGCAGCAACGCACGACTCATAATGAAGCAGGACGGATGAACGAAGACCTAACCAAAACGTGGGAGGCGAAAGCTCGCCCCCGAGAACCTGGAAGACCAACAGAAACTCGTCGCCAGGGCCAAGAGGGCAGTAAAAGCCAGAGGGTTCTTGGACTAAGAAGCCCTCCCACCTCAGGGTGACACCGGGCATTGCTCGGGACACTGTTTTCAAAATAAACATTTACTTCTCTCTCTTCTTCTCTAACCGACAATCTAGGTAAACTTACTTACAGGTTATTTTCTGGTAATTCTGTATCTACATTTTCTACAAATATTTACAACTGGAGGAAGCCTGGTGATGACAGTTACAAACTCTAGTAAGCACTGCACAAAGCTGTTATAGGTTTCAGCATTCCCCCCCCCCCCCCCCCCCAAAAAACGAAGACAAGTTTTTGCTTAGTTTCCTAGCACTATTAAATGCAACAGAAAATGGTATGTGTAACGCCTCACTATTCACTGAGATGTTTGATGTGTAACGTTTTAACATATCTCATGCAAAGCGTGTATAACAAGTACCCCCCCCCCCCCGACCAACATATCCCTGAATATGCGCCAAACCTCATAAGCGCGAAAATGCACGCGACAGCGACGAGCGACGCAACGTAGATCGTCTTCGCGCAATCAGTCGCTAGAGCAGGCAAACCTCATCCACGCGACGGCTTCGGCGAGCGAACTCCACTGTTGCTGGCATGAGGCCGTCTACTCGCACAAAAAAAGAAAAAAAACGCGTAGTGAGCGGTATGCAATTTAAAAATAAGATATATTGTTGTGTAATGGAACGGAAAGTGTTTATGAGCACTTTTTTTATATGCACATGCGTAAACATTGCGTTATTTCTTGTTGCGCATACGTGACTCGGGCAGGGTCACGTGTACCTACGTAGTCTTTGTATTTTCCGTTTTTTCGCTATTGGCTGCTTGAGCCCAGCACTTCTGGGCGATGAGCGACGGTTTCCAAACCTGGAGAATCGAGCGATCGCGCGAAAACGAGCACGCGACACGTCGCGCGAACGCCCTGTTTTGTCGCTTATAGCATCACTCGTCGCTGTCGCGTGCATTTTCACGCTTATGAGGCTTGCTCTTATACCGAAATTCCACGAACAGTGCTAACGTAGGCACAAAAGCATAAAGCAGTTGGGTCGATACATTTGCAGTTTCATGAAATTTATTAGTCCAAGAAGGGGGGCCTATGCTGTTCATGTAAAATCGTCCATATCATACATGGCTCTTGGCATGCGACACTACTGTTGCACAGCAGCAGACCATCACCCTGACCAACAATGGGGGACTGAAAACTGTGTCAAGGCGTCGAGTAAAGCAACACCACGTGACCTACGTACCTCAATTGAGCCATACTCTTGGTCTGACGAATGACCACCCATAATTCAAGGTACCACTCATTCACATTAGATACCCAGCCAGAGTAGTAGTAGTAGTAGTAGTAGTAGTAGTACTACTACCAGCCAGAGGAGATGGAGACAAATTTATTTAATTATGCTAGGAGATTTGTTATGAGCGTGAACCTTACATTTGCCCACAGAAGTTGACAACAGAGTTTCGAGGGATGAGGGGCATGCAGGGCGGGACAGTTTCCGCACAAAACAGTCAATGATGTGCTCAACATGAGAGTGCGATTCTTACCCATGTGCGGCATTGTGTATGGCGGTGCCAACATGGGTGGCATCGGCATGCCGGGCATGCCCAGTGGCGGTCTGTGGGGTGGGAAAGCCATGTCTTCCCGAAGTACTAGTCGGTACTCCTGAAATAAACGCGAGAACGCAACACGTTTGGGATGTCAGCACTGCAAACCCTAGCTTCGTCTCGACGAAACAAACAGTTCAAGAAGGACTTGTTGGTGGGCTAGTTTGGTGCATACTTGACGCACTTTCATATTGAAACTAGAAGTACAAACACATGAACAGCCTGCCCTAAGATCTTCGTACACTTGTCCTTTAAGCTTAAGTGAAGATATCAACAAAAGAGCAAAGCACGGTCAAACACCTAAAATAGCTGGTTTAGAACAGGACACCGCTTCTTCATACAACAACATACGCGATGCGGACGAATTTGCAAGATTGTACAAGTCGACCGAAAAAAAAAAAAAAAAAAAAATAAACCACTGGAACGAACGCTTATGCTCGCTCAGAGACTGCAACTGTGCCGCAAACTTGAAAATAAAACAACAGCAGTTTACAAACAGACGCAGTTGTTTCACTGGAGAACAAGTGCGATGCAAGCTAGGTACAAGATGGCACAAAATGACCGTGGCAAAATAGGCAAAGTTCAGATAAGAGCGCTCGTGTTCGTTCGCCGACCGCAACCATGTAGCAAATTTGAGAGGCTGGAAAAAATGCATCTGGAAAATGCATCGGGAAAACGCTAGCGATACATCGATTTGAGGGTGCGCGACGAAACGGGCAGGCACTCTAGAAAAAAAAAAAAAAATGCCGTGAACGTCACGCAGTTCTCGAGAAGGCGCGTCGTGGTCAAATCGCTGCGTTTCCAGCTTCGCTAGACAGAACGTGCAATCGGACAATCACGGAAACACGCTCACGAAAAATACTCCAGCTCAAAAAAATGCCAGGAGCGCTCCGCGAGTAATCATGGTAAAGGAGAACGGCCCCCTGCGAGCATTCACGAAACATGCGAGCTAAGCCTTATCTAGGGCAGGCAGGTTGACGGTACGTTACGCTAAACTACCATACAGATTTTGGGTGCCCCGGCTCTGTTTCTAAGCCCTCCGGCGGGTAAGGTCAAATCTCACCGTGGCTACGGTTTGGTGTTTGCCGGCTTACAAAAGAAACTTATTTGCCGCGATACACGAGTTATGGGCGACGTAGCTAATTGTAACCGCACAACACGAAATAATAGTATCGTCGTGGACGGATGCTTACTGTTGCCTACAAGAGGTTCTGGTGACTAATGGAGAAATAGAAGCGTTAGCCTGAAACCCTGAGTTGAAATAACAGCTAGCGCTACTCCAAAACAAGTTTTTGTTTTAAACACAAGTCATGCACTTTATTTACAATTGCAAGACATTCAAATTAATAACTAACACAAGTTCTGATTTAATTATTTTTCAGACATCCCACCCATGACCTACTACACTCCTGACCTGCCCAGAGAGCACCTCTTCCAGCGCCCACGTTCTAGTTCATACCTTCTGCCGCTAGGGCCGTCACCTACGAGCGGCGTGGCGCTAGGCAGCACCTGTTCGCTGTCGTCTGCTTCAGCCATCGCTGTGGCAGTGCAAATCGTTCTTATTGTGCATGAATTGTGTATGAATGTGTAAAATATGGCAAATAAAGCGATATGATTCCTCGTCAGAGTTGGCTGCATTCGTGTGGACGTTTGAAGCAGAAATAGAACCGTAAAAAAAGCACACAAAGGGTCACAGTGGCAAGCAGACGGGAACTTTTCTACAAATGAAGGAAAATTTATTATGAAAATATTTCTTGAATGAAAACGTAGTCCAACGAGATAAAAAAACTATTGTTAGGCATTCATTGTTCACACTGAATCACGATGGTTCCAGACGATACGCATACACAAATTGCAGAAGATACGCAGAAACACAGTAGGTCGTGTGCAGAAACTTGCAGACGGCAGATAGCTGCAGTAGTCAGCTCTAATAGTGGCCGCGTGCAGTTTTTTTTTTTTAGATGAGCTGACACCTCAAATGTAAGTATGGTGTATTGCTGCGTGCCATATTGCAAATCGGAACAAGGCAAACAAAGTAAAGTAAGTTTTCACGAGTTTCCTGCCACAGACATACGGGAAGAATGGATCGAGGCAATTGGAAGAAAAGGTGAGTCTTGTGTTTTTGAGAGTCGTTTCAATTCAGAACGAGTTGCAAGCTAGCAAGAAGCACCAGGGTGCTTTAGTAAACTTTATTTCCGTGTGTTATGCTAATTCACTGAGCTAAAAAACATGAAAGCTTTTTTAAAGTACCGCGGCTAATATGGCAGGCTCCACAAATAGTGCCAAGAAATTTAAATATAGCACACAAGAAAAAAGTAAATATACGAAATCTGTAAATTATGTAAAAATGCGTAGCGGTGGGTTGCGAGGGGTTCGAGCACCCTTCCCGAAGGCTATTACCAATGAGTACATTATTAGTCAAAAGCTTTATGAATACTAAATTGAAGTTTTTTTAGGCTGGAATGGCAAAAACAACCATGCAGCAAGACATTTCTACGCAAATATACAGCTTTAGAAGTCAATCAACCAGTATAGCCTAACTACTAAAATGTAACACATAGCACACGTTAGCCTTTTCAGCAAAAAACAATCACACGTACCTATGTTTATTTCACACTGTAAGAAGCTTGCAATGGCGCTGGCGTCAGTAACGATGAAAGTTTTTTATCGGTCCGAACAGTTTGCATAAATTACTAATTATAAGAAAAGTACTCTCGTGTCCTACAACATATTACTTCGGCTTCACGCTTTCGCAGATATAAAGTGAGCACGTACTTGGCGTTTTTGTGTGCGCGAGATTTCGCAGCGACCTAAGCATTTTGCTCGAGGGCACCCGAATCGCTCAAGGCAGACATAAAGGCTTTTGCTATAATTATGTACTATATTGTGTTCACCTGGTCATAGATGCCGTAGTATAGTGGCCTGAAATAAAGGTGTCAGCATCGTCGCGGCTGCGCCTGTGGTGTTATGTGGCCGAGCGGCGCGCAAGTCGCCTCCGTGATCGGTCGAGAGCGCTCGCCAGCCGCTAGCGCGGCACCTTTAGTCGCTTGCTCACAGAACACCTACACACTACCTCGACTTGTGACTTGCTCGTGTGCTCGCAAGTCGCAACGTTGGCGCTTTGCTTATTTGGACTTGTTCGGGATCAATACGTGCCAATGTGACCATGCGACAATGATGGGTAAACAACAAACACACCGCTTGGCATTTGGATGCAATGCGGGATATGTTTCGGCCCGCAAACAAGGGAAGAAAGCGTCTCTCTTCGCTGCTCCCGCCGACGATGAACGGCGCAAGGCCTGGGAGCGTGCGATTCCTCTCGCTGACAAAGAACAAGAAAAGAACTGCGTTGTGTGTGAAGCTCATTTTGACGAAAGATTCATCGTCCGTAGCTACAAGCATGTCATCAACAGGTTCTGAGCAACTTGGGAAAAAGCTGTACGTAAGAAGGGTTGGTTCCTGAGTGAATCAACTGCCGAAGGACTCCGCGTCACTCTAACCAGCACCCTTTCCATCCGGCACTATATCACGAAAACCTTGGGCTATAAATGCTTGATGACGTTTCACCTCTGCCAAGACGCGCTTAAAATCTTTTTGGAATTCTGAAGCAAATGTCTGGATCGAATGATCACCCTTCGCTGACACAATTTTTTATCTCTGTGAATTGCCTCAGTTTTTACAGTTTGGCACAGTCACCCTCCAGTGGAAACATACCTTCTAAAGTTCTGAACAGCCTTCTATGTCCGAGCATCCACAATAATTCAATAAAATCGCAGACTAAGCTGGATATGAGCTGCTATATGTGGGACGCTTCCATGAGGTTTATGAAATGATGCTTTTGAAGCCCTCCCTGACCACACTGATCTCATTGGACGCAAAAGTGACTCCCGGATCACTTATTACGTCAGTGGGTGTGTGTCTCGGAAGATTGTTAAAGAGACAAAGTGCAACGAATATAGCAGGTTGATGCTTCACTCTGAGAATTCCAGCTTGCTTCCGGTAGAATCATGCCTTCTGTACCCGCCCGAGTCCTTGACAGACCTGGTCAAAGCTATGGAAGATGCATTCACCGATTGCTTCAGCTTCAACAAGTTGAAAAGTGACAGCATAACAGAGCTTATCTCTTGCCTAGCATGCTGTCTGTATAAATATGGTCGGCTGTAAACACTGAGCACTAGAAACTGGAAGTGACAAATAGGATATCTACAGGTTTACAGTTTGTGCAGGCAAATCACTGAACAATACGTAAAAGTGAGGATACAACACATGACAAAGGAAAAAAAAAAAAACGAGAATCGGTCAAAAGTAAGGTGGGACCACTTTTGACAAGGGCAATAATTTTCAACCACCTGTAGGGCACCTATGTTTTCGATTTGTTTGCTTTAGGCATCGCTATTTGATGCATATGCACTTTAATTGAGTTCTCTACATGCCACTTGGCTGCGTACAAGTCGCAATAAACATGTACAACCAGAATTACTTGTTTTCGTTGCTTTATAAACACACGAGACGAGTCACTTCACCCGCAGCGCTCGGCTCTTTTCTGCCACTGGCAACATGGCCGCAGCACGCTCGGCGCGGCTTCACTCTCTCCCGTAGCGGCGCATAGGCGGCTTCACGTTAGCCAAAGCATCTTTAAGCGGACCACTCTTACCTATTTTACCTGATTTCGCCTACGTAACAGCACTCAGATATAGAAATGCTTGTTTACACAAAGAAATAGAAAAATTATCGTTGGATAAAGTCAGAGACTTCGTACATCTAAGATATTGCTGGAACAAACAGTGGTGTTTATCTCGGCAGTTTGAAATTACAATCACCAGATTACGATGCAGAATTCCGCATCTGAATTACTACCTACATAAAGCTGCACTAACAGCATCTCCGTTGTGTCTCTTTTGCAAGAAATCAGAATCAATAGATCATTTCTTTTTATCCTGTCAACGTTATGCTTATCAAAGGAAAAGGTACCTGGTCGAACCAATTGAGAAGCTAGGTTTAAAAATAAACGTGGAACTAATTTTATCCTTCGGAGGGATTACAATAGGTTATAGCCACAGGGAGGTTTTCTCTGCTGTGAGCGAGTACATAAGGGCAACAAAGAGATTACCCTGTTAGCCTATTGTTATTATTTACGGCTACGAGACTACCTGAATGCCTGACTTAGCACACTTGATGATCCTGCCGCCCGGTTCTTGGCCGATCCCCCTTTGTGGGCGAGTGCCAGCAAAGCTGAAAGTTCATCATCATCATCATCACTCCAGCCAGTTTTATGTATCCTCCTTGGTGCGTGCAGTGGCGCGTAGGCCGGTTATGGCGCCGTTCATTTCTCTGAAACGTGTTTATGCAAGCGGCTGGGGATGATCCGTATCGATTTCAGTCGCCGGTGATGCATTACGTGCAGTTATGCACAAATTGAGCTGACTGCTGCACCTGCACAGCTGACTGCTGTACGTGATCGCGATGAGCTTAATCTCAGCCGGCTTGAAGTGCAGAGACTTGCACGCGTACCTGAAAACCCTTTCGCCGGCTACTCTGGACAACCTCTACACTCATCCAGCAACTTGTTTGGCGGTCTTTCGGTGAAGTGTAGATAGCAATATACTTGTTAACTAATTTGCTCTAATTACACTTTTTCCGTTTCAGAGAGCTGCCAAGCATATCACGTCATTATATTATGCGATTGCTGTTCGTTGAACAGCCTGTTCCCCAGGCTGTGGTGTCATCTTGGAATGAACAAAAATACGTCAAGTGAGTATCACATGCATCAAGTCCTTTGTAATGAGTCGGTGCTTGTTACTAAGGTTTAGTGGCTATTATTACTTTGAATTGGCGATGACGCACAGCTAGAGTAAATCACTAGAAAGACCGCCACAGTTTTCCGGCCCTGCATGAATAAAAGCGTTGGTGGTGCGAAGTGCTCGGCAATATAGTTCATGTATTATTGTAAGTAATTTAGAGCAACTTAAGACTCTCTAGAAACATTCACGCTAGCTTCCCCTCAAGAAACGCACACCACTCACAGCACTCACAACCAACTGCTTATTGTACGGGATTGACCATTTTATATGCCTACAGGATTATGCGCAGAAGCAACGGAAAACAAAGGTGTGCATGAGCAAAGAATCAACAGTCGATGGAAAAACCTGCCACCAGCTGATAAAGTGAGAAAATAGGGAAAAGGAAAATAACAGATAAACCAGCTAGGGGCACTGACATCTTGCCTTGAGAAAAAATATTTCCTTTTGATACAACGCCAGGGATGGTTCGCTTACACAATGATCCTTATTTTTTAAAATAAAATATGCTTGCAATGAAAGACGTGCAGATGATTTCAAGCTTCTTCCGAGAGCCTGCGTGTCTCTAAACTGTGGTTCACATCGACATGCCGCAGCATGTGCCACAACGTACACGTACTTATCCTCTTTTTTTTTTTTTCGTAACCCACATGCTTTCTTGGCCAGTCGTTTAGGCATCTTTCAGTTTGTCTGATGTAAAAGTTCCCGCATGATAAAGTAATTGAGTATACAACTCCATGAAGCACTTAAGAAAGGCCTTCTCATGTTTTTTCGGCGACCGTGTTTCTTTCTTGCGTTTGAAAATGCTCAGGCACAAACTGGCGAGTTTTTTCAGTGCCAGAAGACCAGCGGCACACCACGTCTTGCAGCGACCATCTTAAGATTGTAAGAGAACTTATGCAGGTACGGCATCACTTGAGGCCTGGAGCCCGATGGAAGCCAAGTAGCTATATCCCTTTGTGTTCTACGTTTCAGCTTTTGCATAAGTGACTTGGAGACTGTGTTTATGGTTTTAATTTGACAAGTGCGTGTGTAAATGTCACCAATGACAATAGTGGTGAAGTTGAGCATTCTTGCTGTGCAGGTCTTAGTGTTTTTATAGAACATGGATGCAGACTAAGATCCACACCTGAGGTACCCATTGAGACCTGTGTACAGTTCTTATACCTCAAGCTACTGTGGGACTGTGACCACATTTGTTGGTTTTACCATACTCGTCAGAAAGGGACTGTTGCCATTCAATTCTGCGCATTCTAAGATTGTTGAGAGAGGGATTTCTTCACTTTGCTAGTGTCTGTGTTAACAAAGTCGTGCCTACACCACATGCGCACCGGTTTAAAGGATCAGATCAGCCGATTGTTGGCGGCAAGCTTTCCTTTGTCAGTCATAAACACAGTCGCCGAGTCACTTACGCAAAAGCTGAAATGTGGAGCACAAAAGAATGGAGCTGGATCCATTGGGCTCCAAGCCTCAAGTGATGCCATAGGTGCATAATCCCTCCCACAACCTTAAAGGGGCCGCTGCAGGACATGGTGTGTCGCTGGTCTTCTGGTGCTGAAAAGACGCGCCAGTTTGTGCCCACACATTTGCAATCGCAAGAGACGCGGTTGTCCAAAAAACACGGGAAGGCCTTCTTTAAGTGCTCCATGGAGGTTGTATACTCAATTACTTCATCATGCGGAAATGTGTATATCTGTCAAACCAAAAGATGCCCGAAAAACTGGCTAAAAGAGCGTATGCAGAAAAATTGGGAAAGAAGAGGATAAGTAGGCACATCTTGTGGCTCATGCTGCGGCATCTGGGTGGAAACCACGGTTTTGAGGCACGCAGGTTCTCAGAAATAGCTTGAAATCATCTGCATGTCTTTCATTGGAAGCATATTTTATTTTATAAAATAAGGATAATTGTGTTAGCGAGCCATTCGTGGCGTTGTATTAAAAGGAAATATTAAGGCAAGATGTCGGTGCTCCTGGCTGGTTTATCTGTTGCTTTCCTTTCGTTATCCTTTTTGTCTGTCACTTTGTTGGGTTGTGGATGGTTCTTGCATTGATCGTTGATTCTTTATCTCATGCACACCTTTGTTTTCTATTGCTTCTGCACGTTATCCTGTAGGCGTACAAGATGGTCAGTCAGGCGCAATGAACAGTTGGTAGTGAGTGCTGTAGGTATGGTGTTTCTTGAGTGGAAGCTAGCATGAATTCTTCTAAAAATTTTCAAGTTGCGCCAAATTACTTGCACTATGATGAGTTACCAACTAGCCCAACAACAAGTTTTAATAATAGTTCATGCATAACGAATACTCATTTGCTGCAATATTGCCACAGGAAATTACTATTGCTCCGCGCAACGCGGACGTTGGGAACCAGAGAAACGCTAACGGCACGACTACGAGCGACGAAGCCAGCCGCAATGCACAAGCCGGCCCTGCATGCGCCCGGTACTCCGCCGAACAGCGAACGCGCGTGAAGAAGAGAACGAGGGTGCTCGAGGCAGAGGCTCACGAGGACTACCGCCCTTGGATCTTCTTGATTGCTGTGCGTCGTTCACTTTGAGCACAAGTTCGCCCTTAATAAACCGTGTAAATAGAACATCGTTGTTGTGAGGCTGCTACATTCGTTACATTTTCTGGTGGAGGCGCCGGGTAGATGATTCCAACCCACACGAGAGAGCGAAGTCCAAGCCCTGACCATCCGCAAGCCGTGGAGCTTATGCTGGTACACCAACGGATCAGTCGCCGTATTCGAGGGGATTCACCAGAATCTGAACCACTTCCCCCTGTGCCAAGGGCATCAGCGACGGAAACAAGAAACGCCACCACCATGACTATCCAAGTTGCACCATCACGCTCATTGTCAGCCAGCCCGTCATACCGAAGGTGTTCCATGGTGACCCGTTCGAGGACGCCGAAGACTGGCTGGATCATTTCGAGAGGGTGGCGAACATAAACCAATGGAACGAAGCAGGCAAGTTGCACAACGTATACGTCTCTTTAGAAGACACAGCGCGAGTGTGGTACGAAAACCACGACGCATCTTTGACGTTCTGGGAAGAGTTCCGGCGGCAGCTACTGTGTACGTTTGGCAACAATTATCGCCGGGAAAAGGCAGAAGCAGCTCTTCGTGCACGGAATCAACGCACAAATGAGACTGTCGCTATGTACATAGAAGACATGTCCCACCTGTTCAAGCGAGCTGATCCCAACATGACTGAAGACAAGAAGGTGCGTCATCGCATGCATGGGGTAAAACAAGAGCTGTTCGCGGGACTCGCTCGCAATCTGCCGTGCTCTGTTGCTGAGTTTCGGTCGGAAGCAACTACAATAGAAACGATGCTGCAGCAGAGAGCCCGGCAATACAATCGTGACATAGCCTGTACATCAGCAGAGGTCTTCTCGGCAAACGTTGTCGATAATCTTGACACTCTGCGGGAGCTCGTCCGGTCAGTTGTCAGGGAGGAACTACGCAAGCTGCAAAGCTGCAGCCACCCGCTTCACCGGAACTGTCTATTGCGGATGTTGTCCGAGAAGAAATTCGGCAGGTCATTTGGGAGCTGCAAAGGGATGCACCACCGGCACGACGCGCGGTAACTTATTCTGAGGTGCTCAGGCGGCCTGCTGTCCACTGTGCGCCTATCGAGGCACTGACAACACGTAGCCCGCTCCATATCGTAGAGGCAACTTGCAGCGCACCTCTTCCGAGAGAGACAAGACCTCGGAAAAGCGATGTATGGCGAGATGCGGAACGTAACTGTGGAGAGGCTGGCCATCTTTACCGGTTTTGCCGATATCGTCAAGCTGGTCTTCGAAGATTTGCGGTCAACGCACCGTGTCCGCGAAACGGCGAAAGGCCGTCCAACATCGAGGAATACCTGTGCTCACGTCAGAGCTTCGACCTGCATCGTCGTCACCAACCGCGGTCACCATCCCCTCTACGTCAGCGCTCGCCAAGCCCACGTGCCTTTCCAAACGCACCTAGGCATCGTTCACCTAGTCCAAACCCGGTAAACTGAAGTGGGCGACCTGTGGAGGCGAGGCCGCTGGTGATTCGAAATACGAAGATCCTCCACTGCAACACCAGCGTGACGACGACGACGACTGTCTCCAGGTAAAGAAGTGCAGTAATGAGAAGATAACTTCAGACTTGCCATTGGTAATTGACGGGCTAGAGCTCATGGCTTTAATCGATACCGGTGCGGATTACTTTGTGATAAGCTACGATTTAGCGAAGTGCCTCAGGAAAGTTCTGACCGAAGAGAATGGACCTCAAGTACGTACGGCAGGCGGTCACCTTATTACGCCTCTCGGCAGATGCGCCGCAAGAGTTGAGATACGAGGTTTCACTTACGTTGGTGACTTCGTTGTCCTGCCCGTATGTTCGAGAGAAGTTATATTCGGAATGGATTTTCTGCAAGCAAATGGTGCCATTATTAATTTGCAGAGGTCCAGCGTATCATTTTCGACGGAACAAGCTATAAAGGTAGCTCGAGCAGACGAGCACTACACCACTCCACTGCGCATCGTCGATGATGATGTGACTGTACCGCCGCAGAGCAGTGTAATGGTTCTAGTCAGAAATGATACGTTTGGTGACTGTGAAGGTGTGGCAGACAGCAACATGGATGTTTTCCTGAAAAGAGGTGTTTGTGTGGCACGATGAATTATCCAGCTACGAAACGGGTACGCAGACGTCCTCCTGACAAATTTTGGAAACGAATTCCAGCACATCGCAAAGGGGACAGCCATAGCCTTTCTTCATGAGGTTTGTGAAGCCACAGAAATATGCAGCCTTGAAACAACGTTAACGGATATGAAACCAACATCTGATGTCTGCGACGTAATATCCGTAAATTCCAATCTTTCAGTGATCCAACGTCAACAGCTATATAACCTTGTACGGGAATTTGGCAGCTGTTTCTCTTATAGTTCAAAGGTACGATGCACAACCATTGCAAAACACAGGATCGTAACAGACGAGACAACCAGGCCGGTACACCAGCACCCGTACCGCGTTTCACCAAAAGAAAGGGAAGTCATCAAGAATCAAGTACAGGAGATGCTTGAAGATGATGTTATTCAACCTTCTAGCAGTCCGTGGGCATCTCCTGTAGTACTTGTCAAGAAGAAGGATAACACGCTAAGGTTTTGCGTCGACTACCGGAAATTAAATGCTGTGACTATACGGGATGTACATCCCCTCCCGCGTATTGACGACACATTAGACAGACTTTGGTGTGCCAAGTTCTTTTCATCACTAGATCTGAAAAGTGGATACTGGCTGATCGAAGTTGATGAACGTGATCGCGAGAAGACTGCTTTTGTTACCCCGGACAAACTCTATGAATTTAAGGCTCTCCCTTTTGGTCTCTGTTGTGCGCCGGCAACGGTTCAACGCATGATGGACACTGTACTTTCCATATTGAAATGGCAGTGTTGCTTAGTGTACCTTGACGACGTAGTCATCTTTGCCGCTACATTCGAGGAGCATATCAAGCGCCTGCGAACAGCGTTAGAAGCAATCCGTTCGGCAGATTTAACCATCAAGCCAGAGAAGTGCGAAATCGGTTTCGAAGAGCTTCGATTCCTTGGGCACGTTGTCAGCGCCCACGGTGTGCGCCCTGATCCCGAAAAGACAGCCGCTGTTGCAAGGTTCCCGGTGCCAGCAGACAAAAAGTCAGTACGGAGATTCCTAGGTCTCTGTGCTTACTACCGACGATTTGTCAGAAATTTCTCGCAGATTGCAGAACCCTTGACGAAACTTACGAGAAAAGATGTACCTTTCCAGTGGGAAACAGAGCAACAAAGCGCCTTCAACGAATTAAAAAAACGGTTGCAAGAGCCCCCAATCCTTTCTCATTTTGATAAAACAGCTGACACAGAAATACACACAGACGCCAGCAACATCGGCCTAGGATGCATCCTAATATAGTGGCAGAATGGTGAAGAAAAGGTGATAGCATACGCCAGCCGGACTCTAACAAAGGCGGAGACCAATTATTCGGCCACAGAGAAAGAATGCCTTGCCGTCATCTGGGCCATCAGTAAGTTTCGGCCTTATTTGTATGGTAGACCATTCAAGGCAGTCAGCGATCACCATGCCCTTCGCTGGCTCGCCAACCTCAAGGACCCGTCCGGACGACTAGGGAGGTGGAGCCTCAGACTGCAAGAATTCGACATAACTGTGGTATACCGATCTGGCAGGAAGCATACCGACGCCGACTGTTTGTTACGGGCACCTGCAGACTCAGCACTATCAGATGAAGAGGACTTTCCATTCGTGGCGGTTGTCAAGACTTCTCAGGTAGCTGAAATTCAACATGCGGACGAAGAATTGCTCCCGCTCATCAAACACCTGAAAGGAGCTGACGTACAAGTACCTCGTATATTTTCTCGAAGCCTTGCATCGTTTTGCCTCCGAGGAAATGTCCTCTACAAGAGAAACTTTAAGCCAAACCGTGAAAAGTTTTTGCTTGTCGTTCCCGCAACTATGCGGCAAGAAATATTACAAGCGTGCCACGATAAGCCTACGTCTGGACATTTGGGGGTCACTCGAACGCTTGCACGAATCAGTCAGCACTATTATTGGCCCAAGCTAGTGTCTTCAGTACAGAGCTATGTCAGAACATGCCGCGAGTGCCAAAGACGGAGCCAGCGGGCCTTCTGCACCCAATAGACCCACCGAAAGCACTCTTCCAACAAGTTGGAATGGACCTCCTTGGACCATTCCCGACATCTTTACTTGGCAAGAAGTGGATCGTTGTAGCGACTGATTATTTAACGAGATACGCGGAAACAGAGTCCTTGCATCGAGGAACGGCAGCTGAGGTTGCCAAATTCTTTGTACAGAGCATAGTGCTACGGCATGGCGCTCCAACTGTTGTAATCACCGATCGCGGACCGGCTTTCACGGCGGAACTCATGGAATGCCTGCTTAACATGACCCGCACTGTTCACAGGAAAACTACCGCATATCACCCTCAAAGCAACGGCCAGACTGAACGCCTTAACAGAACTCTAGCTGACATGATATCTATGTATGTGGACGTCGAACACAAAAAGTGAGACGAAATTTTACCATACGTCACCTTCGCCTATAACAGCGCCGTACAAGAGACTACCAAGATTACCCCGTTTCAACTAGTTTACGGTCGTGTAGTTACCACAACACTGGACGCTATGTTACCTATAGATCAAGATGACTACCCTTCTGATCTTGATGACTATATAGAGAGAGCGGAGGTGGCCCGCCAATTAGCAAGGTACCGAATATGTCACCAACAACGAATCGATGCCGACCGCTATAACCGAGGAAGACGTGAAACACGGTATGAAGTTGGTGACAAAGTGTGGATATGGACCCCAGTACGACGACGAGGCCTGTCTGAAAAACTCATTTGTCCGTATTTCGGTCCTTACGAGGTAGTACAGCGACACAGCGACCTCGTTTATGAAGTCAAGCCTACAGGACATGGGAATTCTAAACGACGCAATCCCACCGAGCGTGTACACATTGTGCGCATCAAACCGTACTACGACCGGTACAAAGACTAGCCACTCCACTTGCTTGCTGTACAACCATTTCCCTCTTACAAACATTCCGAGACAGAAACGCTGCATACATTATCATCGAAAGCATCGGGGCGATGCCTCTTGAGAGGGGGATAATGCCACAGGAAATTACTATTGCTCCGCGCAACGCGGACGTTTGGAACCAGAGAAATGCTAACGGCACGACTACGAGCGACGAAGCCAGCCGCAATGCACGAGCCGGCCCTGCATGCGCGCGGTACTGCACCGAACAGCCAACGCGCGTGAAGAAGAAGAGAACGAGGGTGCTCGAGGCAGAGGCTCACGAGGACTACCGCCCTTGGATCTTCTTGATTGCTGTGCGTCGTTCACTTTGGGCACAAGTTCGCCCTTAATAAACCGTGTAAATAGAACATCGTTTTGTTAGGCTGCTACATTCGTTACAATATTAGCATGCTCGATCAGCTGCATTTACTGAATATTCTATATGTATATGTACAGTGGAGGTGTGCAAATAGGAAATTTTAGAATGGAGTACCAATCAAATACTCCTGCTGTAGTTTTCTCACTAGTGAGGCAACCATTTCAAAACAGCCTTCGAGCTTCACATCTTATTTGAAACTTATTTGAAACAAATGTTCCCAAACTTCAGCCAAGAAACATTATTATTGCTTTTAATGGACAACAGTGACTACATAGAGCCCTTGATATACTTTTCAAATGCAGGTTTAAATACAGCACTTATTGCAGTGCTCAAGCTTTAAAGAAAAACACCTTCTGGTAATCAGTATAGCATTGATAGTCCGTAACAGCTTGGGGTGCATGCATCATGGTAATTCAGTTATTAAAACAAGAAAAATGAGTGTTTTATTCTAACATTTCGTTTAGGTCCTCCCATTGGTGCTTCATATGTGAAAAATATTCGGTGTTTTAAGTATGTACTGTTTGTTTTGTTACTCTCGTTTTTTAGATATTTGCACACCCCCAATATACAGCAAGTGGGAGGTCCTTGTTTGTAACAGCAACAAGGGAAAGCTTTATTTTTCAACGGTTTCAACCAGTTTTCATTGGGGCTTTTGTGAAACTCTGCATCTTTTTCTTTAAATAGTGGCTCCTGTCTCATTAAACGTGGTGGAGAAACTAGTTTCCTCCAGTAACCAACCTGCTTGTAAACAACTACAATCGTGTGACTGCACATACTAGTGAAATCACTATATTTGCAAGCACCGGTATCATCGGTGGCATCTAAAGGTTCTTTTTTTATATGATACAGGCAGCTTCATGCCCTTGTGTGAAGCTGCTTTCTTGCTCTGCCCCTGATTGTAAATTCATGTAATTGTTTTGTTAGTTATTTGAACTTATTGCTAGTCACTGACACCACTTTTCTTTTTCTGGAAGGGATGAACATTTGCATTGCCCTGTTATTACCTTTAGTAAACATTGCCAGACTCCTGGTTCTTTGTAGTTTGGTTTCTGAACGGAGTAACATTTTATCTGGCTATGTAAAAGTATGCACATGAGCATAATGACAACAAAAGCAAAAGTCTGAGAGATCAAACAGGTGTCTGGCAATGGCCAATGTTCCAGAAGTGGTTGGAAATGACTTGCATGAAGGCTATTGCAATGTCATATTCCTATAATGTATGTATTGTACACCCCCTACTGAATGGTTAAAACCCTTGGCCTTTTGAAAAGCATTGCCTGTATCATAATGTGGCTCAGTGACTTTTTTTTTTTGATTTGTAATATTAAATATTCAGATCTTTCAAATTGTGGTAGATTTCATCATTCCTTCTTAATTGACTTTCCTGTAGGGACCATTTGGAAGCACTTGAGGCACTCACTGCACTACACATTTGGACAGATGCCAGCCTTCCTGGTGGACTTCCAGGCTGGTCGCTGAGTGCAGTGTTTAGGAAGCACATTCAGATAGCACTTCTTGGAGGGTATGTGCATAGCTGTTGTTACTTGTCTGAAAGCGACATAGAAATTTGTTGCTATGGTTTTATTCTGCCCAAGTGTGTGTTCTATAGGGATAGGGTGCATATCTAAAGATACCTAGAACTGAAGAGGTTGTACTCGACAGATTTCTTAATTACATGATTGTTGACATGTTTGCAGTCGTAAAAAAAAAACCTTCCTGAACCTAGCCTCTGGTGTTGCGGTTTGGTTGGGCTGGGCCCATTGTAAATCACTGCAAATTTTTTATAAAAGGCTAAAATTGAGCTGATGTGCTTCGTTATGTTCTTTTCTGTAAATCTGTAAATTAATATATTATTAGTGTTCTTTCATTTTCCTGATACATTTGAAGTCTTTTGGGCATAGGGTCCTTTCCATGCATTTTTGACCATGTTTAGGAACTGTTTTTGCAATAACTAAAAAAGACATTCAATGAATTCAAATATTATTTTCTCCCAAGTTTCATGCTCTTTAAACTACATTAGACCTATTAAAATAAAAAATTACTATTTTTTGGTAAAACCCTTCCCATCAGCACTTAAATTTTGGGTTCATTTGCATATTTCAAAATTTGTTAGACAAAAACTGTTTTCTGTATATTTTCAGTTCTGACACAGTGATTATGTATATCAATGGGTTACCTTGTAAAATATTAAGTAGTAGTAGTTCCTGTGTAATAAAAAAATGGTTTTGAGATAATTGAGCTTGAAGTAAGGAAAGACCTGTGGAGTATTTTTTCACTGTACGCACTGTTCAAGTAATTTATTTTGTAGCGCCCAGTTGTATAATCATTACTGAAGTCATTTGGTTCATTTTTTGGCCGGTCATCTTACTTACCTTGCCCGTTTTATGATCCTTCATGCACCTCTATATTGAGTACTGTGGTCAACTTTTTTCAGCAAGTCCAATATCTTGGAGCCCCGCATGAATCCTAATGACATCATATTGTATTATACTTTTAATGTATTAATGAAAGAACAGAATACAATGTTGCAATGCTTAGTGTATGAAGCCCGAAAAGGATATACATATATTTTTTGTGCTTCTCTCCAAACAATGTAACTGAACGACTCAATTGCATTTCAGGAAGGAAAGATGGGCAGCATGTTTGGACGCTTTAAGCTGTCCTTACTGAAAAATCGGCTATGCAATAGTTGCCTGACCATTTGCTATAGTATGTCTCTGATTCTAGACAAGTGTTTTGGTTTTTGTGTCGAGAGATTGTGTCACAAAAATTTACGATAAGCATGGAGTGCATTAGAAAAAAAAGGCAGATTCACACACAACTTGCTTTCAGAAAAACTGTTTTTCATACAGAAATAAGACACGAATGTGGAAAAGGGCACTAAACACTTCTTGAATTATAAAGAAAACAAACTTGTAAAAATTTTTTTATTGCCTTACCCCGTGTCATCAAGGCATTGCATATAGGGGGTAACCTCTTCTTTTTTGATCGAAGTGACTGCTCAGCTCATCACAGAGTATGAAATATATTCCATTTTTAGCTTCTCCATTAAGGTTTTTACAGATCTCCTTTCTATTCGTGCACACTGAAATTCAAGAGCAGGCATTTATTATTCAGAGGCAATTCTCGTCTTGGAATTTCATTAACATGTACCTTCTGCAATTTGTAGAGTTGACGCCACAGTTGCTAATTGCCTGTCCTCATTCTGCTTTTTTCCTACTTTCATCTTGAAGTCGGTCATTACTACTCTGCACTTAGTTTGTATCTTTTGCCTTGCTAATTTAGGTGCGAAGCACCGTAGGAACTAGGCTTGTCAGCACCTCCTGTCACAGTAGGTTGCGAAGTCATGGTCCATCACAAAAAACAGATAACTTTCACTACTCACCGCGGTCCACTAAAAGCGAAGATGGTAGCAGTTAGCCTCCATAAAGAGCCAGCGGTAGTGGAGCAATAATAATGCCCTTCTCTATACTCTGTTTCGTGAGTTTCATGCAGCAAGGCTACATGCTCTTTGAGCACGGATTCTTGCAAAGCCAGATTTGGTGCCCATGTTCACAACCCGTTGCGTGTCCTCGTGATCTTTACAAACAGTCTCGTCCGAACATTCTTGCTTGAAGCCTTCACTGCGTTTCGAAATGGTCACCTGCCAGGGCATTTTGCTCCTTTTTTCATAGAAAACAATTTTTATGGCTCTATGATACCGAAGAAAGAGTTCTCGCTTGTTTGTGTTATAATGGGCACGTGACGGAAGAAATAGGGCAACTGTGCCTCATACGCGTTATGTTCTGTTCTCTAAAATACAAACAATTCGTAAGCCATTGTCTAAAATCTTTAATGCAGTTGGCACAGCCACAGACTCCCGAGCGTTGCGAAGGAACCGGCATTGGGCTAGAAAAAAATGGTTGCACTGCCAAAACCAGTTGCCGTCCGCCTCGAATCTATTGACTAGCTGTTGTGTGCTCTGTGGTTTGTAAGCTCCCATGAAGTGATGCTTTCATTTGCTTTAGTTTTATGTCCTTAAGCTTCGAAAACACAGTATTCGGAGCCACATTCGAATAATCAATGTTGTAGGCTTAGCAAGTGGCAATGGACACTTCCCACATCTCAGAGGGCATACATGACGAGTTTTGCTAGTTTCTTCTAATCCTCGATAGCCGGCGCTATTTGTCCAGGCACCAGCTTGACGGCATGTTATTTTCATTTACGCTACCCTTTTTCGAATTTCGGCCAGACGAAGACGTCCTATTGGGGGGGGGGGCACTGCTGGAACTATGCCTGGCAATGACGCGGACAACATCTGCACTTAGGAGGTCTGTTAGAAAAATATCTGACCTTAATTTTTTTGGAAGCACCTGATGGATTTCAAACAAGCGCGCTTGCATCAGCCGACCTTGAATCTTCGTGTGCAATTTTTTCTTGCCTGCCAATAGCGTGAGTCGCTGGGACGCAGCGTTTGAGTGAGGTAGGGCGCAGTGCTCTTTTCAGTTTTTCATTGCAAGGAAAATGATGGAGTGACTGGAGCAGCGCAACTGCATCAAATTTTGCCAGAAGCTGGGCGACAGCCAAGTGGTAACCATTCGGAAGATCAAAACAGCTTTCGAGGATGATGCTATGAGCCGTAAACAGCTTAAGGAGTGGTACAACCTGTTTAAAGATGGCCGCATATCAGTGAAGAGGGAGCCACGCTCAGCTCGGCTGTCAATATGCCAAAATGTCCGAAGTGAACGCTGTGGTGATGCGGCATCGTCATGTCACTATCCAGGAAATTGCGGAAGAGGTGGGCGTCAGCACTTCCTCTGTAAATTTCATTATGACTGAAGATTTGGCCATGAAGAAGGTTGCAGTGAAATTCGTGTCGAAACTGCTCACGGTGGAGCAAAAGCAACTTTGTGCTGAAATCTCACAGGACATGCTGTATTTCACAAACAGTGATCATAACTTCATGAACACCATTATTGACTAGGGATGAGTCTTGGGTGTACGGATACGACCCGGAAACTTAATCCCAGTCGTCACAGTGGAAGCATTCCACGTCACCAAGACCAAAGAAAACCCGCCAAGTGCGCAGCAACGTCAAAGCGATGCTGAGTGCTTTCTTTGACTCCCGTGGTGTGGTACCCGAAGAGTACACATCACAGGGCCAAACAATTACCAAAGAATACTACAGAGATGTCCTCAGTTGCCTGCCTACGTGATGTTGTGCAGTGCAAGAGGCCTCAGTTGGGGTCAACAGAAAACTGCCGCATCCATCACAACAATGCTGCTGCACATTCCTCACACTTGGTTAAGACTTGGCAAAAAGTCAGACTCCTGTAGTTCAACAGGTTCCTTACTCTCCTTATATGGCCCCCTGCGTCTTCTGGCTACTTCCCAAACTCGAGAGAACATTGAAAGGAGAGCTATGTCAGACAAGGGAGGACATTATGGCTGCAATGAAAGCTGAGCCAAACTCCATTCCGAAAGAAGCTTTCTCAGAATGCTTCCAACAACGGCAGCACTGCTGGGAGAAGCGTGTGGAATCTCAAGGGGGCTACTTTGAGGGGCAATGGGCCTTTAAGGCTCTAATTATGCCAGTTCTTTTTCCTTCCACCAATGGTCGGATATTTTTCTAACAGACCTTGTACACCGTGAAAAACGCAGAGCAAGAAACAAACAGCTCGAAGTATCGCACAGCAGATGCAGACAACACGGCTCACCGATGTGGCTGGCACCCAACACGCGGTTCTGTGGTGACAGGGGCCATGATCAAGAAAAGCTGCTGCACAACTTTGACTTGTGATGCACATGGTCGTGCACAATTTCTGTCAAAGGGAGGAAACTCCGATTCTGTGCAAGCTCACAGCTAGCAGCGCTCGTCGCTTGCAAACGAAAGGGCACAGAAGGGTACATTTAGATGTGCTCACCCTCTTGATTGGTCGAGAAGGACCGATGCTTTCACTGTGCTGCACAGAACTACTGAAACAGAGTATAAAAGTCATAGGGAACTAAAGCAGGGCATGTAGCAAAGAAGAAGAAAAAAAGAAGTAGAAGCAGCACCTAAGGGTGAGCTGCGTTCCAATGCAGTTTTCTAACAGCGTTGGTGGTTTCAGGCTTGGTACCCCTGGTGGGGCTCATCAAGGAAATCCCCTCTTCAGGTTTCACGTTGGTGGAGCTTAAACACCCATTCCTATGTACTTTGCTTTTGCCCAATTTTTATTATTATTACTTCTGAACATTAAAGCAGAGGCTTGTTCTGCTTTTCATTTTTAGCTGCTATTCAGCGTTATCACTACGTAGGCTGTGTAGACGGAGTAGAAGCCCTCAATGTTGCCTCCGATATCTTTAAGACTACAAAAATCTTACCCAAAGTTCTCTCTGTTTTAGAAGACCTCCTTAAAAGAAGACATAGCCACGAACTGTGAGAGTCTGGAGGTTTAGGACAGTTGGAGGAATCGGACAGCGAGTCTACCTATTTCTCCTGTGGTTACTTCAATGACGTTAGTGAACGACTCATAAAATGGTGCTAACAGACCAATTGCAAGGATGTAATGATGGGCATAATCGGCAAATGAAGCTTCCTGCAACTGGAAGTAATCTTTTTCACAAGTTAAAAGTAAGTTTCTGCTATCACAAGTGTAACACTCTCAAACTTCTACCGCTGCCTGGAAACTTGCATAATTTTTTTTCCAAAAAGACGCATCGGTGCTGTGCTTTATTTAAAGAAAAAGTTGAAACCTTATGACTGAACTTTATACCTACTGAACATCGTTTACTTTAGGAAACGTAGTTCGAGATTAATGGGACACTGTCCCTTTCCTGTATCCTACTGCCACATCACGTTACACAGTGCAGAAAGGAAAAAGGCAAGACAAAAGTTTATATGTACATTGCGAAAGCATACTATTGAAAAATAATTCACATAGGTTAGCACAACAGTCTTTAAAAAGGAGCGCAGTACAGTCAAGACTGCCGCCACAGGCCATCAAAAAAATAAATTGCATTTGTCGAAGGATAGCTGTTCTTCAAGTAAAAAAGACACAGTGGCCTTTGACAAGTCTGACAATGACATTCCAGGTTTTAATAATGACTGGCAAGACATGTGAAATCAGTCTGTCTAATAAATATATTCCATTGACAAAAGCAGATATTTTTCTCATCAGTTTTATTTTAAAAAAATTGATGTTCATTATGTGGCTGGAGTCATGAGCAGTAATAATATGTCAGCTTCAATGTGCAATTTCTGTAGAATGAAGAATGAGCTCCTTGTTCAACTTTCTTTGTAAGAAAGATACAGGGACTTTGCATACTTCGGAAATTGTGATGAAGCTGCCAGTGCCGAAATCTATCGCTGTGGCAAAGTTTGTGCTGCTCCGTTTAATGTTTGGTGTTAAACTATCCAATTATGATAATCACAGAAGACACTTGAACTATTGTGCTACGTTCCAATCCACCCAGAAAGGCTGGTAGGATGGGACAGATTTTAGCCATCGCAAACTTTTTTATTACAGCTGCACAAAGACCCGTACCATCCAGTGCATCTGAGAAGTTCTGCAGCTCGATTTGATAGACATTTGTTTGTTTTAATCCACCTAACATTGTTCTGCATTAAAGTTCAACAAAACTAAAAATATAATTCTGAAAAGTGTCCCAATCCTCCACTCTCCCCTTTAAAAGTCTTGTCATTTCCTTGTAGTGACTCCTAAATATACATGATGAATTGATATGTGGGGTTTAACATCCCAAAGCCACCATATGATTATGAGAGATGCCGTGGTGGAGGGCTCTGGAAATCTCGACTACCTGGTGTTCTTTAACGTGCGCCCAAATCTGAGCACACGGGCCTAGAGCTTTTTTGCCTTCATCGAAAATGTAGCCGCCGCAGCCGGCATTCCTCCCCGCGACCTGCGGGTCAGCAGCCGAGTACCTTAGCCACTAGACCACTGCGGCAGGGCACCTTTAAGTATACAGTGAACTCAATAAACAAAAGTCAAATGGAATTCCGGCTTAAGTGGAACAATCGCCTTGAATATAATTGGTTTTTTCTTTGAACGCAGCACTCCTGTTCATCTCTCAGTAAATGTAACTCCTGCTAGAAGGTACTCATCTTTCAGATTCCTTCAGTTTTTTTTTTTAACGAGATTCTACAGTAATCTATGTTTTTTGAAGGGACTGACAACTGCCCAGGACATGAAATGATATGACTACACAAATGGAAAGATTGACCCTCATAGTGAATCAAACCAACCCTATTTTTCTCGTGAGAAGTGGAGTTATGTTTTCATTTCTTCAAGCCAAGTTATCAGACCCAGGCCTGAAGAATCAGCACAGCGTGGTTCAACAGGCGCGGGAGATGGCGAAGGCCCCCGGCTACCTGGAATAAGGAGGCCGCTTACCATGGGCGCACAATGCGTTTGCTCAAATAAAAGTTTATTCTCTTTCTCTCTCATTGAAAATCACGCAAATAGCCGCTGGTGGCAGAAACTTCAATTATCCGAGCTGCCATGTCACGTCAGCGTAATCTAGTGTACGCTGTCAACAATTTTTCTGTTAGTGTTGAAATATTGTTTGCATTTTTATAATAAACGATATTACTCCGTAAAAATGTGCTTATAGTCTTGCCTTAGTAGTGCGCAATTAAGTGGCGCTGCCTTCACATGACGTAATGATCCCGTGCTCCTCAGCGTGCCTTGAGCAACTTTTCTGCGTGCTCATGAAACCGTGCAGGCACCTGGTCGCTAATATTTCGGATTGACGTGGTTTTTTTTTTTACTTCCATTTTGTCTCAGAAATGGTGCGCAGTGATGTTTTCGGTGGCTTCACTTAGCTCGGGTGTCGAGAGAGTAACGACAACGAGACTAGCCATTCACGACACAGGTGCATCAACCTTGGGAGCAGGCATACGCAACACGGTACAAATACAGAGAAGCTGTATCAAGCCACATTGTCTCATTGTAGTGGCTTGCTATTTTCAAAAATAGTTGTAAAGCTCAGAATAAACGTAGTTAAGCATAGTTACAGGACCTCCTGCGAAAGCAGAACCATGACAGCATGCACAAGTTGCTAGAAGGGCTACCGGCATCGCTATCATTTCTCAGCGTTGCTGGACGAAATGGCAGGTTGTTGTTTAAAGCCTTTCAAATAGAAAAGTACTGCTTACAAAATAACTACATGCTTTTGGTAGTAACTACTGTAGCTACGAACACTGCGATGGGTAAGTTTTCGGTTGTGCTGGAAAAAAGTGGGTCGAAAAAAATCGGTTGTTGGTCCCTTTAAAAGCAAGGGACACTTAATGCCCATTTTTTTTGCTCGTTTTACAGTGGAAAACAATGGGCTGTCTACAATGCTCTTGAAAAGGACAAGCACGGAAGAGATGCTGCGTTTCTAGACCAATACGCTGCTGAGCGATGGGAGGTACTTCTGTCACTATTTCTTTTTTAACACTGAGAGAAGTTAATCTTGCCCTGAAGTTTAGCTCAAGCAGGGTGGCAGCCAGAGAGCTTGCTTTGAGTTATCAGTTATTATTTCTTTTTCTTTTTGTTCCTACCTGTCTTGCATTCTGATTAATTTTTTTGTCTCTGCCACAGCTTCTCTATTCACTTAAATAATTTCATGATTGACCTGCCGAATTTGCCTTTTGTGAAAGTAATTGCTAGGCAAATGAGCTGTAAACCATCTAGGTTGAACACACAGATCTTCTGCACGTTTTGTTTCATGTGTCTTTGTGCGTTAAGTAATCATGCAATTTGCTGTAAACTTTCATTACCGCTCACTTTGCCTTTGTCTCTGCTACAGTGTGTCCTTCATTTCATGGTGGGTTGTCATACAACAGAGGGCATAAGCGTAGATGCAGTCCGAACACTGCTCCATGCTGGACTCATGAAATCGTAAGTCATCTGTTATATCTTAATAAATTTCAGTCACTGCATATTTATAAATTTCTAGCATTAGTTTTGGTTTAAAGGTCTTGTATTCTTAGCGATGTGCCTGTTTGGGCTACTTGGGGATCCATTGACGCTACTATAGCGCCAACTTCAGAGACGAGGGACACATACCAGGGATAACTTCAGAGACACATAATATAAATACAGTAGACCTTCATTAAAGGGAACCTGATCAGACTAGAAATAAATGTTTTGTTTAACAGGAGTTCCTGTAACTGTGCAGTGATACAAGTGCTGCTTTGATTTATCCAAACTACTCCGAAAGAAAAAAGCTGCTTCAAACAGTAATTTTAGTTAGTAATTGCTCTAATCCTGCTCCACAATGGCTCTGAGAGAATGAGAATGACAAACTTATACTGTTTGACCAACTTATAACTCCTAGAGAAACTGGAATGAATCTATACCAGCATTACAGAACAGTACTAGTGTGCAGCATATTGGCTATAATCTCATTTATGCGATAAAAACTGCGATATTAAACATATAGCTCATTTGGCAGTTTTTCCTATCTCTTTTTCTAGTTAGACACGCTGGCTACTGGGGTGATATGAGAAAATGAGCAGGATTGCTTTTATCTTGTGCCAATTATCTACTGCTTGTTTGGCAAGTTATGTGGGACTCTGGTTACTTCTGAAATATCATGCTCAGCTTTACCAGTTTGGTTTGATTTCTGCCACAAATGCTAGTATGTTAAATATATAGCTCATTTCACAGCTCATCTTTGACACCCAAACATCCTTTTAATTGTCTGCTTCTTGAAAAGTTACATTGATTGCTGTCTGTGAAATATATATCATGATAAATATTAATATTTACGAGATGCTTTGATGGTGCTTTGAACTCCAATTGGTGTATGGAAGCTTTGTGTCTGCTCTTAAAACACCAATAGCTGCTCCAAACAAAAATTTTTTTCCTTATGAAAACACTTATAGCTGCTCCAAAACAATGCTTTTTCTGCTCTCAAAGTATGTTCCAAAAAGTGAAAAGTCACTTCCATAGCTGACTGTGAGATGACCAGGGATCGCGAATACAAGAACAAAATCAAATATTCAAAAAGCACTTGTTCCAATTGAGCAGCACTTTCATTTAACAGATTTCCATTTACTGAGATTCAGCTGTGTCTGTCTTAACAACAAAAATCTACTTAAAAGCGAGTGCTTGTTTGTCGTGTTCTTTTGTCCTTCGTCTCCGATGTTCGTGCTATAGTAGCGTCTTGTATTTGTTCATTTAAGTTCACGGAAATGCCCATAATAGGTAGTTCAACTGGGCTCACACCTGCGAAGCTAAAACGACTAATAACAGCCATATTTTTCTTTGTGACTTTTATGCTTTAATGAGTAGGTCTGTGTATAGTTATGAAGCTGAATTTCATATGTTCTAGCATAATGTATAATTAACATATATCAGTGAACTCACTCAGACTCGGATTGAGCCGTGAGTCTCAGTGAGTCCGGTTGAGGAACATTTGGAGTCCATGCAAGTCTGGCTCAGGAAAAATTTGGTGAATGAGTCCAAAGCCCGACATATTTCTTGAGTGAGTCTGAGTGAGTTTCACTTTTTTTTTTGCGGACCCATGATAATTAATGCTAACATAATTGGTAGGGGTGTGTGAATATTTGGAATTTTAAATTTTTCGCTATTAGCATTTGCTTTTAGATTAGATTCGCACTGGAATTCGGCTATTTGAACTTCCCGAAGACAAACACAGTTGTCCACTTGACAGTACCGACTTGATAGTTTTAATAAGCTTCGCCCCATTACACTCTCGTATTGCGGCAAAGCTGCGTTTTCGGTTCTGCTATGTTTGCAAATGTATCTACTCAAGAAAACGTACACATCGACTCAATTTGCATTTACACTTCAATATTTGAATTCACTTTGAATGCAAAATTGTGGCATTTACACCAGTCTAATAATTTGTTGTGATAAATTTAAGTTTTACTTTAAAATGTCCTGAAATCATAAAAAAACTAGTGCCCCACTGCAGTGAAGCAGTTTAGGATCATGCAGGCTTCTATGACATTAAGAGTGCACGTTTTTAATCAGAGCCCTGCATACCGGAAGGAATGGAATGATGTGGGTGCAGCAGTCTCAGTCATGATGTGGCAAACCATTAACATTTTTCTGCTGAAATTTCTGTCAATGTAACAGTGCCACACGCAGTAGTAAGTTTCAGGTGATCTATATATCTGTTAAGCGTAAAGTAAGTTGCAGTATTACAGAATCATTCACTGTGATTTACATGTATGTTGATGCAAATATATATTTATGTAGAAGTTGCCAGTTTGCGCATTCATTGCTTTGTTACTAAATCAGGGACTTACATGAATGCAGGGAAGAGGGCGAAGGCAGCTCACCATTGATAACTATGGAGGGCTTCCAGTTCTTACTGATGGACACAGCTTCTCAAGTGTGGCATTTTGTGCTTCAGTACTTGGACACTCTGGAGGTATACATTGCATGTCTCTTTCTCCTGTGGATACTGTCTTTTTTGTTTAACATATTAAATACGGAGAAAAAAATGACACAATATTATGCTTTGTGAGCTGAACTATTTGTGTCATTTTCTTATCCTTTGGCATTTTGGCCCTTTCAACCAGCTCAAAATAAACATTGAGCAGACATGTGTTATTAGCAGCTACTTTAATGACATCTCTAACATTTAACCATCACTTAACATAGTCATGTATGCGAATTACACTAATCTTTGCTTTGCAAATTCAACCCTACAACATATAAAAAAAATGATTATGTACATTTGCTGTATGACTGGCCGAACCTAAACGAACTACAATTGAATGTTACCAGAGCTAAGTAAATAAAATTTAAACTGGTGAATAAGCAAATGGCTGTTTTTAGATTCGAAGCAGCTCTTTGACAAGCCTGTGTAACGCTGTCCCTCCGTCCGCACCGCTCCCCTGGCCGCAGATGTTGGAGCAGTGCCAGGTAGCTCACACCTTCCTAGAAGTGTGCAGTGACGTCTCTCTCCGTCGCCTGCTGCGCGCTCGCCACATGTCAGCTCTCTCTCTTCACCCTCTACACTGCTGGAAACGCTCGAGCCCACTCCTCATGTGGGTATCATTTCACCCGTGCCATCTCTCTCCATTTGTTGGTGAGAAGAAGGCGCAAGCCGGTGGGGGCACGCGCTGCACGTGCCTCGAGAATCTCGCGGCACCAACAATGTAGACAGTGCGTCTCTGCTTGCCATGCGATCGCGGCGACGGTCGGGACGTCATCGCGGCATGCTTCCCGCTAGTGTGCGTGTACTGTTCCCAGCTGTCGCCGGCGTTGCGAGAGTAAGCGAAGCCGGTCGCGTTCGCGAATGGCAATGTCAACATCGGCAAGGTGCAAGCTAGAGCCCGAACGCAAGCGTCGGCACTGCAAGACGGCAGTGCATGAATCCATTTCAACTAGCTCGATTTTTCATTCTATATTGTTTTACTTCTTGTATTATTCCTTTGGTACATGTATTTGCAAAGTTACACACATGTGCAGTGATAAAAAATTGAAGTGAAACCAGCAACAAACATCTTTCATGTGCAATTACATAAAACTGAATTGTAGTTGCCTAGTAAGCCAGTTTCTGAGCATCCTAAGTCTATATTGTGAGTTAAGAATTAGAGTAGCTTCTGAAAAGTGTTGTCTTGTAATTTGTAACCACTGTAAATGCATGAGTGGGTTGCTGAATCATCACGTCTGCTCATGCCGACTATGTGTACGTATCCTACATATTCCTGCCTTACAAGTCTTGGGATATGGTTCTAGAGGTATAACATGCGAAACTGTTCGTGTGCATATTGTTTTTGTTTTCTTTGCAGTCGAGAGGCCTGAACCTGGTGGAATGTCTAACGTTCCTTTTCCAACTTAGTTTCCTCACTCTTGGGAAGGTAAAGAAACCTTTCTTTCACTTCAAGTTTCCTTCTTCCTTGCAATATGCTTCAACATATACTATTTAGATTTTTTTCATACAGCTCCAGGAACACTGGCTGATGTCTATGCAAATTAGTATATGGTAAAAGTGCAACTCTGCTTGGATTGTAAAAACTGGTGAAGAATTTTACATGCCGGCCAAGTCTCCAGGATTTCAACCGTTTCTTCCGTTTGTACGGTTGTCATGAAAATCTCCCGGCAATCGAAATTTCTGTGCGTGATCTGGCGGCATTGACAAAAAAGTAGCTCAATCTGCTCTAGGCTTTTCGAACTTGCCTCATTTTATTATAAATGAGTTTCAAAGGTATTCATCTAAATGTACAGTAGAATCTCAGTGATGTGAAACCGCAGCAGATACAAATTCATCAAAATCCCCTGCCAAATTCCACTTTGTTCATTGGTACCTAAATTTGAATGTTCCGAAAACATTTCCTTATCGTGGTGGGTGATGCGAACTTTAGTGCGGAAACCGCCGAATGGAGGCTGAGAGCAGCGTACTCGAAGCTTTGAAATTACACATGCGACCGGCGCACGCTCTGTTTTCTACAGTGCGTGTGATTGTCGTTACCACAACCGCTGTGGCCGAAACCGCGGTCACTCTTGACACGATCACGTATGGCGATGACGTAACTGACAGAGCCCCGAAAGTGTGCGCTTAGCCAGTCAAAGCAACGCTGCTTTCTGCAAAATCTGCGGACAAAACTGCGGCAGATGCGATCGTAGATGGCATAAAACAACTTAGTTATGAAGGCTTGCGCGCAGTTAAGCACACAGGGATTGTAAAAGGAACTACCGTTTGCCACAACCGAGGCGTGCGAAACCGTGGTCGCGGCAACGGGCTAGCATCTAGGAGCTCCGAGGGCACACAACGGTAGATTAAAAGTTGTAAATACGTAAAAAAAAAAAAAGAGTCACAGTTTCGCCGTAAGGGCGGAGCAATGAGTGCGACAGCAACAAATCGGAGTGTCATGCTGAGAACGGCAAGCAGATCGAAACGTGCAGGGCGCTGCTCACGCACAAATCATGCACGAAAACCATACACACAGCACAAGAGCGAACTAACAACGTTTACCGCTGAACATGTAACATACTGTTTAAACAAAAGCGATGCACGATACGTAATCACAGGTAGACATGAGTACAAACCAACAAGTGTGCCAGCTGTTATACCTCGCTGTGTATGAAAAGCGCGCTCTTTTCGCAAACGGGGCCTGTGCAGAGATAGAAGTGACCTTTGTGGGCCCGGTAACTAACACAATCGTTCCGAAGGCACACCATTCTCCCCACCAAAGGGTAAGCGCGCGCGCACAAGCATCTTACGCCCCTCCTCCCCCCACCCCTCCATTCGCGGGGCAAAATGGGCATGAGAGATGAGCTGGGAGGGCGGCTTTTTTTTTTCTTGAGTGTTCATATATATAGATACGTATACATATATGTTAAATGACGGCGGCGACAGCAGAAAACCAGCCTAGACTGTCCATATAATTGCTACCGTAATAAAAAGGGGCCAGGCACGTTTTGGCGTTCCTGTCAAAAGAATCTAGTAGTGAGCAAAGCTTTGATCTGCGCTTTAGCGGCAACCAGCTGCGCCGTCCCGTCCGTTCACGTGTGTCTCGGAAAGACATACGCGAGTTGTTTTGACGAAATTCGATTCTGTTAGTTGTGTTGATCTTTAGAGACTCTCACCTGGCAACTCTATCCTCGTATGTTCGCCACTCCGAGCCACTATAAGACCGCAACGCTTCTATTGGCGCTTGCGTTTGAAACCCCACCCCCTCTTGTTTTTCAGGACGTTTTGTTTTGTTCGTTTGTCCTTGGGTTTTTTTTTGTGCCGAAAATAAAACTAGGGGCAAATAATTCACCCCCCCCCCCTCCCCCGTTGTGGAAATCTCCCGGATTCAAAATCCTTGAACTTGGCAGGTATGATTGTAAGATAAGCAGAGATTCGAAGTCATAAATATATGCTCTTGATCTATTCATGCACGATGAAGCCTTTCCATATTGGTGCCAGTAATGTCCTCAGTTGCTTTCAATGCGGCAGCAGCGCCAGACATTGACAGTGTTGCATTCCGAGTAGTAGCATTTGAAGACGGTGTGCTTGGTGCTGGGTCAACATAATTCGACATTTTTTTATTACACGCAATTTTTTTTATTACACGCAAGCTTTGAATGTCTTAAATTTCTGGTGCAATATGTGTTAATTTTTCAAGCAGACCATAAAAATGTTTTTTGAAGCCTGTGATTTTATTTGTTTTTTCATGCTCTTTTGTTTTAGCTCGAAGCAATGCCGCTGCTGCATCACAGCGCAGTGCATGCACTATCATTGCAGTGACCCTTCCCCATTAGCTGCCAGCATAGCGCCATGAACCGCGACGCACTATTTCAAAACACTGTATCTTTTACAGAGCCAGTGTGAGTGCCATTATTGTGAACATGAGGAATGCAAGACACCACCCCAAGAATCTGTACGCCACTGAACAAAAAATTGCTTGATATGATTTTTGTCGTGGGGCACTGAATCTCTCCCCCATGACTGCAAAGCACACGCGAAGGCTAGACGTTAGGCGAGAGCAGGAAGGGGCTAGAAGAGAGGGTGGTGAATGGCTGGGTTGGGTGCATCTAGCTGGCATTAATAAAATAGAGGAGGCGTTGGCCCAGCAAAATAATCGTAAGTTAAAAAAAAAACTTTTCTTCGTCCTTGGAGTCGTCTTAGAAGAATACATTTAGGACAGTGTGTGTCTATAGCTTCTAGGCATTATTGTACATTGCAGCATTTGTTTACTATGTCTGCTGATAACCGCACAAGTGTATTTATATGTCATTTCATAAAGTGCAATTTTATTTAGCTAGCATTCTGTTTAGTTGTTACGAAAATAATCACTGAACAAGTTGTTCCAGAATGCTCAACTGCTGGATGCCATTATTTCTTGCATCATCAAGTGAGATAGGGAGTGCTCCATAGATGATTGGCTCCCTAAGATTTGCAATGAGTCAAAGTATTTCTAGCTCTTCACAAGAGCCCCCAAACAACTATTCATCTCCTTAAATGCAAATGCAACTTGATTCTCCAGTGTACTCCAGGATGTGAAGCTAGCTGCTCGAGAGTGCTCCCAGATGCGAAATTACCTGCTCCAAAGTGCTCCAAAAGGAAAATTTTATTGCTCCTAAAATCGCTTGGAATTGGAAGTCCTCGGTAGCAACGCTGCAAATGCAGTCAATGTCCCGTTAAAAGTAGTAACCCCTTGAAATCTTCAATATGCTTCGCCTCATCACATTTTCGCATTGCGGCAAAGCTGCCTTTCAGGTTCTGTTAAGGCCGAATTTTTCATGTTGTCGGATTCAGTGGCTCCTCCAGATTTTTTTAAGCGCTTCACTTCATCATACACCTGTACTGCGGCAAAGCTGCCTTTCAGGCTTTACTGTCGTAAATGTATTCATTCAAGAAAACATTCCTAACGTGGAGATGACAGATGTGACGGGGGGGAGGGCTCAATGCTGTTTTGGACATGAAGTTTGGGCAAGAAGTTCGAAAAGTTGAACGCTGAAGGCTTTAGCATTGAAAATTTCGAATGTGCTTGTATGTTGACGTCTGCGGGACAGATTTGGAACTCCTAACTCGGAAGAAAGCACATTCTTGCCTGCCAAATCAGTTGGGCTGCCATAGAAGTTGAAAGAGGAGGAGAGGCTGAAAAAATAGCACTGTGCCTTTCACGTGTAAAGTGTACTCGGTAACACTTTGGTTGTACCAAATCATGTACTAATAAAATTTGGCCTCTGCATTGCCTCATTTTTGATAACACAACTATAAAATACTATCACCCCGCAGCCGCTTCATCAACCTAGTAAAAAGAAACACTTTCGTGTTCCTCTATCTGATAAGAGTTTGCTTACGAGTCCTCTCCGACTTTTTTTCTCTCAAAATCACTTCAAACTATTAGAAAAATAGTCTAGAACATTCGAAAAATATTCGATTCAATTTGCACTCGCACTTCAATATTCGAATTCGCTAGGCACCTAAACTTTTGCTATTTGCATAGCTCTACTTTCTATTATGGTTTAAGTTAACTATTAATTATGAATCACTTCATGTACACATATGTGTATTTGAGTATATTAATTATGTCTGGGAATATATTGTATTTAGTCTTATTTTGATTGAGAAATGCTATTGTTCTTTTTTTTTTCTTGTATAAGTGCTTGTGATTCATTCATTCTTGATACCCATTCCTGCATGGGCTCTGTTCTGAGACTGCAGTATTCTGTAAACTAAGTAAAATATAAACGGAACACTAATACTGTCATATTGGGCTGCTTAGTTTGTTTGCCTGCTTTCTTCCTTCTCCTGGGAGTGCTTATTTCTGGACACATTCATGTAATGTATACTTTTTATGAAAGATGTCAGGCATCGAGTTTTCGTTTTTTCTGCTTTTGTAATAGGTTAATTTCAAAGGATGTGTTACATAGGTACTTTGTCTTTCTTCATTTATTATAGCCTTCCAAAATAATAATGAACTCATCTGTAGAGCAGGTATCCACTTGGTGAACTTGTGCTTCAAAATAGTGGCAAAATAAATAACAAAATGAATGCCATGGTAGAAAAAAATATATGTATACTGAAGGAACGCTGTATAATGTATTGAAAGTTTACAAGCAATATTTGTTAAAGGGACACTGAAGAGAAACAATGACATGATTTAGATTGACAAAATGCTTTCCGAAAACCCTAATGCTGCATGTTTCACTATCATAAGTTCATTATTAGCAGAGAGAACCAGGGTTGAAGCTTGATTGTTTGATTTTGCGTCTAAATCTTCGTGCATGGTGTCAAAATTCGTATTTTTGTAACGTTGGCTTGATGATATTTTCTGAAACTTTGTATGCTAGGCTCTGTGACATCCACAGATGATGATGTACTTCATTTTTGTTGATGAGAACCTACATGGGGCTCTGTACGCCTTCAAAATATACGACGTCACGGTGTTTGGTGCGGGAATCTCAAAGTGGCATCTTCACTCTCATTTTCTTTTCCCACACCTTCTCGCTTGCTAAGCGTGGTGTCCTGGTAAAAGTGGTGTTTTCGAGATTGTTAAATTGTACTTTACTAATACGTAAAAAATCATTTTGCTTTTTAGCATTTTTTTAAGAAAAACAAAAAGGGCTCTGTCGTGAGTGCTCAAGATTTATCCATTTTGAGATATAGGGAAGCCCATTTATAAGAGTGCTGAACTGCCAAGGAAATGTTGGTGTATGTACTACCAATTGTGCTGGCTAAATTATGCAGGAAAACGTGGCTAGAATTTTCATTGTAATATTGGCTTTCTTTAATTTAAATTTATTTTGTAAATCAACAACCGCCAGGAGAATGTGCACAGACTCGTCATCGCCAACTTGAGGCTAGAGCTGATACCACAAAGCAGTAATAATGAAGGCAAAACGAAATTCGCAGCTCAACACAACATACCATTTATCACCAATAAACATTTCATTTAACTGTGCACCGCTTTGTCACTCATTTACATGCGTCAGTGGTAAATGTCACGGGTGAATTACGATAAGACCAATTCCACTGCTTCACCCACTCATTCATTTTGAGGATATGCCGTGATTTTTTTTTTGTTCTGCAGTTAAAGTCCTCTCAAATTGTATAAAGGTTTCTTACATTAAAAAAATTGGATAATGATAGAAGTGAAATAGTGTGTTAAAGAAATCGCAGCATATCCACGGACTGAATGATGATGAGTGGGGCGAAGCGTCCGTCCGTCCATTCGTGCATCCGCCCGTCCGTCTAATCGTGGGTCGATCTGTCCGTCCATGTGTCTGTATGTCCATCCTAGTGAACACTCCAAGTACCACCATCTCGCATCTTTTCATCATATGTAGATGATATACAAGTACCGCCATCAAGCGGACATTCCAAAAACTCCCCTGTGGCACATACTCGAAAGAGTTGGTTACTACAGAGGACTATCAGGTGACACCTTGAGGAGCTTCTTTTCATCATATATTGATTATATACAAGTACCGCTATCTAGCGGACATTCCAAAAACGATATTTTCATTTTATATCTGTTATATACTAGTAGCGTCATCTAGCGGACATTTTAAGAACTAAACTTCCCTGTAGTACATACCCGAGAGAAGTGGTTACTACAAAGTACGATCGGGTGACGCCTTAAGGAGCTTCGCTCCCTAAAATATTCTGCCATCTTCTCGAAGGGAATGATAATGGAGAAGCTTGCTCGGAACTGATCAGGAGAACCCGTGAATCCTGCATACAAGCCCTCTACCATCATGTAAAGACGAAACACGTTGTTATAGGTGTGATTTTATATATATATATATATATATATATATATATATATATACACACACACACACACACACACACACACACACACACACACACACACACACACACACACACACACACACACACACACACAACATGTAATCATTTACATATCAATGCAATTATATGCAAGGTTTACATTACTGATTACTGTAGGATGGGTTTTTCTTTGGAGACCACGATTTTGTGGTTGGTGAAGCATGTGGAGAAGGGTTCTTGAATTAGAGGTTGCAGTTGAAACTTGGAGAAGGCAATTTTGATACAGGTCCCGAGTCGATGTTCTCTTGCCGCCTCTTGCGTGCTGCCTCTTGCGTGCTGCCTCTTGCGTGCCGCCTCTGCTTTGCATGTTCTCACTTCGGGGTCCGCGTGTTGACGAGCCTTCTTCGTAGCACAAAGTGCACATAGTGCCTTACAGATGTGTAGTGGGTACCTCGCTTATCAGCCGAATAATGAATAGCATGGTGGAATAGTGGGTGCTTCCCTACTTTATGAAAGTTACGGTGGGCGTGTAGTGAATACATTGCTGAGCTGCCCCTCTAGCGTTCACACCAAAGAACATGCCTCGAGCATAAGAAGCTTGTCGAGCAAGCTCCTAAAAAGTTTTGCTATGAGGACATGTCTTGTACATTGTACAGTGCTTAGATTAACCATCGCTTTTAAGTAGCGACACGTTTTTTACATTGATGTTATCGTTTTTGGATAAAGCCAGAAAGGTAGGCAGCATGCTCTTTTTTTTTTTTCCAGGATTACAGCACTGAAGGCATGTCAGAATCTCTGCTAGTTTTCCTGCAGCATCTGAGGGAGTTTGGACTTGTTTATCAAAGAAAGGTGAGCTCAGAATTTGTTGTCCTGTTGGATTTTTTAAAGCACCATTATTAATATGTTATAGCACGAGAACTTTTGTTAGCGTGCATATATGTTAAATTTGCAAACATAGTGGGAAGGCTTGTAAAACATGAAAATAAAGGGATCTTTTTGTGGCCTATTTTTAGTCCCAGAGCAATACCGCCCTTTAAATACAGAATAATTTTCATGCTCCACAAGCGACTGTGGACCAATTTTAAGTTTGGCACCACCACAGTGGTTTAGCGCTAAAGTACTCGGCTGCTGACCCGCAGAGCGCGGGATCGAATCCCGGCTGCGGCGGCTGCATTTCTGATGGAGGCGGAAATGTTGTAGGCCCGTGTGCTCAGATTTGGGTGCACGTTAAAGAACCTCAGGTGGTCGAAATTTCCGGAGCTCCCCACTACGGTGTTCCTCATAATCATATGGTGGTTTTGGGACGTTAAACCCCACATATCAATCAATCAATTTTTCCAAACACTTTGCGTAAAGATATAAGTAATTATTCGTACCTCATATGAATAATCCTGTAATCCATGCCCACTCTTGCAATTTGTATGCATCACATGCACAAGCACACATTTATTAGTTTAGTTGGAAAAAACTTTATTGAAGCACACATTTATCATATTAATACTTTTTGATACTCGTGTCAAATGTACTCTTCTGAACAGCCATTATGTCAACTGCTTTCACAATTCTCATACTCTGTTGACATAAAGGTAACCTTGCTAGTGCCCTGGAAATTCAAGAATTGTTGAAATGATCCATCAGCCTGTCACCAAGCACCTAGCCCAAAAGTGACGAGCCTTTAAAATAATTTTAACTACAGTAAAACCTCATTAGATGTATGTGGGGGTTTAACGTCCCAAAACCACCATATGATAGTAAAACCTTATTAGCTTAAAGGCCTCGGGACTGATGAAAATATCCGAATTAAGTGGTATTCTCTATTATTCAAAACAACACTAAATAAAAAAAATCAGCCAAACAATGTTATACAGGGGAGTTGCACTTTTTTTGTTGAAAGTCTGCCTACGTGGGAAAAAATTTCTCCATGCGAGACAAATGCTTCCGGTAGTTCCCAGCACTGCAGTCATATTCTCCAGCCTGTCAATGAGGCAATGCATCTCAGCCTTGCTGCCACCACATTTAAATGAAGCTGAGCACAACACTCAACGCACCGATGATCGCCGCCAAAGGAAGTGCTCGGGAGAGCTTGTCATCCCTGTCAACACTGGAGGCCGAGCCAGTCATTCTCGCAGGGATAGCGCTGTCTATGTTGGCATAAGAAGTATGCACTGCGCTTGACATTCGCGTACTCGGAGAGTCTAACTGGAGTGCACTCCTAGTCCGCGTGCAGCGCTTCATAGCAAGTGCAGCGAGTCCCCCCTTCTTCAAATGGGCAGGAACAGTACACTCCGTAGAGACCGCCTCTTCCTTCACAAACCTGGCATGCTCAAAACACAATCGAACAAAAGGGGTCTCAACTGCACCTACACATAAACAATGAGACATATAGCACCAAGGAGGTCAATGGTATACTCCTTGTTGTTATCATAGCAAATGAGCGTTCGCTATAACATGATAGCAGTATACCTTCCTCGTGTGGAGTATGATGACCTGGTCTATCGGCTGCGATAGTGATGCCGTGTTGGGGAGCAGAAATGCCAGCTTAATTGTATGCAGGTTCTGAATGTTGCCATGAGCTGGGCAGTTATAGCAGGCTGAGACGAATGGAGCGCTCGCATTGACTCGCACAAACCTCAGCAGCTGAATTCCAAAAGACACAAAAAGTGCACAAAAGGTTCACTTTATTAGCATGGCAACCTTCGCTGTTGGGACACGATGATGATCATGATCGCTGTCGCCACATAGCTGCCTGGTAGATGTGAACCCATTTGCTCAAACGCTGTTTACGACATATTTCCAGTCGAAAAAGCATGGCCTTTGAGATAGTTATTTGAAAAAAAAAGTATTTTGTGCTAATTACAGCCTCTGAGATTCGAAACACCCTTTGCATTGCTTGGAAGTCACGGCCAAGGGTGGCAAATAAAGGGGCCATGGCACCGAATTTTCTGTCATAATTTGTGTTATGTGCTTTGTACGTTCAGAAATGAGCTGGCAAAATTTTTGCTCATTTGGTTCTGTTCTTAATTATTGAATATTTTTATAGACATGCACGCAGTCCGAGACTGGGCAACAACACTGGCGCACTCGCTAGCCGTGACGTAACAAATAGCTCGCTGTGTGAGCGTGTGCATTCCAGCGAACGATATTTTTCTGTGATCAGCTGCGCATGAAGTGAAGATATATCATTTTCGCTTTCTTTGGCTTGGTACTGAAATTAAATGATTTGCAGTGGCTGAAAGTAAAGTAGAAGAATAGGGCCCTGCTCGGTGAAGCGCATGACGTCCCAGGCGCCATGGTCGCCGGGGGTTGTTGGCGGTCGACGGTGATTGTAGCTGGTGACTTCGAGGGCTTGTTTTGCATTGAATTATTTTTTTACAGTCTACTCAAGATGCACTTTTCACCAAGTCTACTTTTTGTATATGTGGATAATTAAAGGAGCACTGACATCAAATTTACTCATGTTAAGATTTTTGTTTCCAAGAGTAGCTGTTGACCCATAGTAGCAATTCGTGACCCAAAATAGAACTAACGGACGAATGACTATCAGTTTCATTGATTTGTATCACGGGTATATAGCATGATTTAAGATGGCTACCAAGCCTGCCATTTTTAGCACTGGGAGTGCTTCCTCACGGTCGCTTACAAATCGTGCCACCACTGTCCACTTTTCCAGAGAAAGAAGTGACGTGGGGCTCAGCTGGTCTGCTAACATTTCATCTGCTAGGTGCATATGCTCAGTCATGCCTTGCCTCTTTCTTTGGACCACAGCTGGCGTTCCGCTGGCACGGCAAAGATGACCGAATCTGAGTTGTCCGTGCTTTTGTGGTGCAGTTCGGGGGTCCGATACATCAGCCCTTGGAATCAGCCCGGCAATTGCCTCCCTAAATAACGGGACTAGTGCGATTATTCTGGCATTCGTGACAGGACCTTTTCGGTGCGCAGTGTGTCAAAAGTAGGGAGAAAGAGCTTAGAGTCCCTGGTAGTGCTATCGGATCGATTTTTTGTTTGTTACACGGTATTCTCGCTAACAAGTGTGCAGAGCGTGTTTCGATATTCAGAGTCAGGCAGATAGTTTGTGCATGTGGCTGAGTTTTATTTGAGAAGCACCATGGATCCGGACAAGCTAGTAACTCTTGGTGAGAAGATGGGTTTTTCTAGCGCCGAACTAAGGAAGTAGATGAGCCAGAAGGAGAAAGAGGCGGCGGAAAGAGAGAGGTTGGCAGCTGAAAGGGCGAAGGAAGAAAGGGAAGCTGAGATGGCTGAGAGGAAAAGGCAGCGGCAGCACGAGATGGAACTCGAGCAGCTCCGTTTTCAACAGCGAAGTGAAACTCCCGTCCAGGCTAAAGTCGACAGCAGCATAAAGCAAGATAATAGCTTCCGTTTGAATCCAAGCATATTACTCGTAGCGTTTGATGAGAGGAAGGACGACCTTGATGTGTACCTTCACAGATTTGAGACTGTTGCTTGGAGTCGGAATTGGCCGGAGCTTCAATGGGCAACTGCTTTGAGTACTTGCTTCAGTGGCGAAGCGCTCAGTGTGTACGGAAGGCTGACGCCCACCAATGCAGCGAACTATGCAAAAGTATAGGCTGCTTTACTGAAGTGATTCAGATTCACTCTGGAGCACCTCCGAGACAGATTTCGGAAGGGAAAGTCAGCTGATGGTGAGACGGCTACGCAGTATGCCACTCGACTTAGCCACTATTTTGACAGATAGATCGAGCTTTCGGGGGCAGCTCAGGAGTACGGTGAGCTTAGAGAGCTCCTTATTAGAGAGTAATTTCTCACCAGTTGTCACCCGAGCCGGTTGCTGTACTTGAAAGAAAGGAGAGCTAAGTCATTGGAAGACATGCTTGAATTGGCCGATCAATTCTTTGAAGCACAAGGTGGCACGAATATGTCCAAAGTCAAGAAGGAGAATCCCGTACAGTTGAAAAAATTGGCACCCGAAAAAAAAAAAAGCATGCCCCGGAGAGTGCTATGCAATGCTTTCTGTGCAACCAAGTGGGTCATTGCGCTAACAGTTGTCAAACCAACTTCATGTGTCCCAGTGTAACAAAATGCTTTAAATGTGGTTAGTCTGGGCACAAGGCAGACGTATGTCAAAACGAAGCGAGTAAAACCCACCAAGTAGCCTGCATGCATGACCAAAAGACGAAGATGAAGACATTAGCGAAGGATTTGTGGAGCTCAAAAGCGGGAAAAAGTTTTGTATTGGTGGGTGCTGTCATGACAACGCGGCCAACAGGTGTTATGAAGGGACGGCCAACACTGCCTGGGAAAGTTGCGGACAAGAAGATCACCGTGTTAAGAGACACAGGAAGCTCTTCTGTGATCGTGTGGGAGAATTTAGTGCGTGACAGCAAGCTGACAGGCGAAACGAGGCCTGTTTGCCTCGTTGACGGCTCGGTTCGAATGCTTCCTGAAGCTGAGATTGAAGTTGAGTCATCTTACTTCAGCGGGAAAGTTACTGCCCTGTGCATGACAACCCCCCTGTACGACTTTATCATCATAAACATTGACGGAGCGTGAGGGCCGCACGACCCAGAATGCTTGGGGGAAGACCCAAAGATGGAGCCCTCGGCAACATGGGAACCTCGAGGTGCAGTGGAGGAGAATCTTATGAAAGATTTTGCCCGAGCTCAAGATGAAGCCATGGTGCACAGGAAAGGCAGTCATGAGGTCACCAGGCCAGACGGGAAAACATGTCGGGCAGGTGAGACTGCAGCAAAACGACCACCGTCAACAAAGAGTGAAAAAGTGGTGAAGTTGGCTAGCCAGACCCAAAGCCGCGTCGTGCACGAGCTGGCGAAGAATCAGCAGCGACTGTTTGAACGTGAGGGGACCCTAACAGTGTCGAAAGTGTCGACCATGATAGAGAAGCCACCTCAGATACTGTCGTTCAAAATGGCTCGCCAAAACAGAAAGAAGAAAAATAAGGAAAGGTGGAGTGAGCACCACAAAAAAGGATGTAAGCATGACATGGAGCACACAGGATAGATGTTGAGGGTGAGTTTGAATGTGTTGGGCAGTTTAAACCTCATTGAGTATTTTATTGTTATGTTGTGTTTAAATTTATGTATGTCGATTGAGCCCAAAGTGTCTGTCGCGGTGACGTGATGTCATTGATAAGTTTACATAAGTGTTGTAAGGGTGGACCCTTGTACGTTTGTATTGTTTAAATTGTGTGATGGAGTGTTGTAGTACATGTGGTTATATTTCATGTGCCGTGAAAGCGAATTGCAATTTGAAATTTTATTGAGTGTGCTATTGGGAATGTTACATGCCATGAGGGATGGACTGAATTAGAGACTCTATATGTGGGGCATTTATTATGTGATGTTTGGTTCACACTCATTTGTGTTGTTTCGTATATTATGTGATAATATTCTTAAAGTGGGGGGCAATCTCACAAACGAGCGCTCCGAATTCTAGCAGCGGCGACCATACCGGGTGTCATTCGAATGTAATAAAAGCCGGGGCAAAGAAAAAATAAGCATCATAGGGTGCCACACGCGTGCCTTTTCTCCCCCTCGAAGGCACCGCCACCGACTAACCTCCTCGCATCTATCGCCGAGCGTATTCCAGAAACATCGAAAAGGAAGGCGTCAGTCACTCTGGTTGCGTCACGGCTCACGGAGAGTTCAAAAAAAGTCTCGCGTCTTCTCTAGCTATGGCTGTGCAGCGCACCGGCGAAACTTCTAGAACCCACGGAGAACGTATATAAGCCAGCAGCGAAGGGAGTCGCAGGAGGAGATGAACAGGTTTTCCTCCTGCGGCTGAAAGCTTGTGCTACAGGCAGAAGTGTTTGCTTATGGCCTGTGGGTGAAGATATGTTCTGCAGTCGCAGCGCGTGACTGGCCGACGTGTTACCAGCGAAGAAGTTTCGTTATCTAAGTGCGGCCATTTGACGACGCAAGATTTCCTAGAAGAGAAACTTTGAGAGCAGCGGAACGACAAACGCCACTGGACTTTGAGTGCTTGTTTCCTTGAAGAGGAGCTTTCAAACTTTGTTCCAAGAACTTTGGACTGAATTTATTTGGGAAACATTTCAGTCTATAAGTGTATTGGTTAGTTAGGGTAGGTCAGCCCCTTCCAAAACCCAGTTTTTGAAAAAAAATTTTTTGAGGTATTTGACATTCTTGAGTTCACTGTCTATTCAAGAATACTTAGAGAAAAAATGATGTAACTATGTTGAGTCACTCAAAAGTTATCACCATTTTTTCAACCCCTAATGGATGCATCCAAAACTGAAATTGAATGTTACTGTTTCCACAACACCTACCATGTCGTCATAAATATTTTTCATGTACATATCATATAATGCTCTAATACGTTTTAGAGCTTGCAGAACATAATGTTCTAACTTTATTTTAAAATTTTCACTGCTTGTTTGGAACACTCCACTTGTCTAATTGTGCACGTTTTCGTTCAGCAGTCAGTGTTGTTTTCTATGCCATTTAGAGTTCTAAGGTTAATTTCTGGCTTTTTAAAGAGAAACCTATGATATTTCATACAACATGGCGAAGTATAGGACGAAACAGAAGCGTAAATGCAAGTTAGCCATTCAATATGCCAAGCGTGGACCCACTGAGGAACCATGGGGATGAGAGTTACCTACAGACACAAAACGAGCTAGGAAAAAAATACTTCTTTTGGCTCACTCAAGAATAGCTTGTACCACTTCAAAAGAGGTCCCAAGCTATCAGCCTGGGGAATTTCAGGCCCATTGACTTTTGCTTTTGTTACATGGACATCGGTTTAAATCTTCAAAGCTATTTTTCTCGAAAAGCAATTTTTCGCGTCCTAGGGTTACGCTAACAATAGTTTGCTGGCGCGCCAGAAAGGCCCAAATCTAAATTTTTCATGCTTTCGTGGTGTAATTCGGAGGGCCGATACGTCAGCCCTTAGAATTAGCACGGTGATTGCCTCCTTAATTAACGGGACTAGTGATATGAGGCTGGCCTTCATTTTTGTGTCTAACATAAAGTTTTCAGTCAGAAAAATGGAAGTGAGGCTTTTAAATATTAGCATGTTTCCACGCAGTTACCCTGTAGCATAGAAAAAAATTGTAGTTTTTTTTAGTGGATTTATTTGAGCTATGTGTAATTACTGAATGAAAATGCCCTACATGAATGTCCTGGAAGCACTGATGTGTAAAAAAAAAATTAGCTACAGAGCAAGCTGTAGTGTGCTTCTAAACTGATTTGGTAATTAGTGATTAAATAGGAGGCCCCTTTTGCTTCAGAGCCTATTTCAAGAATGCTGATTTTACCTTTATTAGCGGAGGTCAGGTCGTTTCTACCCAACTCGGCTTGCCATCAACCTGGCATCTGGACTGAAGGAGACTACCCTGCGCAGCTTTGAGGCAGGTTACATAATGGTTGAGACCAACTACAGGGTGTATGCCTACACAAGTAAGTCCTTTTACATATTCACATATGTGTGGTGTTTTTTCTGTCTGATCTGTATTCAATGTATGCCAAATAAAAAAAAAAGTGATGTTAATTTAGTGCTAAAAATAAGATGTTTTGAATAGTATCAAACTGAATATTACATGTTTTTGCATTTCAGATTCTCCACTCCAGGTAGCCCTGCTAGCACTGTTTTGTGAGCTGTTGTACAGGTTAGATGTATGATTATTCAGTAGACTATCAGTAAACAGAAATCTCTTAAACAAAACTGTTGCTTGAATGGAACAACTTCATCTAGTAGGATTTGTTTCTTCTTTGATTTCTTCAGTCATGTTCATCTCTCAGTTATCAGAACTCCTGTTAATCGGAACCAATCTTCCTAGTCCCTTCAGTTTCTGTTTACTGTAATAGTGTACTCAAATTTTTTCCCATGCTTAACTAGCGCACGGCAGCAGCCAGAGATCACACGTTTTTTTTTTTTGCTGTGCACAGGTTTCCAAACCTTGTTGTTGCCAGACTAACAAGAGAGAGTGTCCGGCAAGCACTTCGTAGTGGCATTACATCAAATCAGGTGAGTGGCTCATTATAATTGCTGCGGTAAGCTGTCCCGACAGAACTGTAAGTTGAGCTAGTTAGATTTTATTAATACTAATAAAAATAGCAAAAACTGAAGGATACAAATGCAAGCCAGAGTGGTGAATTGTCTATGCTATGTGTGACAATTTTTGTAAATTGATCAAGCCATAAGAGGGACCATAACAGTTTACCTTTATTTTTTACCACACATTGGGCATGTTTATCAAGAGCTAATTGACCACAATAAAAAGCATGAAAGAGCCTTTCATATTTGGATGCAAACAGATAGCCTGAGTTATGTAAATAAGAGTGAGTGAAGTATTCACTCACTGAAATGAATTACTCAGTCAAGAGCTCTTTTAAAGGGACACTAAAGGCAGCTACTAAGTAATTGTTGATTGTTGAAGTAGCAGTCTAGAAACCTCGTAGTGTTACTTTTGTGCCAAGGAAGGGCCTATTTTGAAATAAAATTACATTTTAGTGGTCTGCATTGGGTTAGCGCACTTCAAATTACCCGCCTCAAGAAGCGGACCAACCAGACCGACTCACGTCACTGTTGCTGTGCACAACGTTGCCCGGCCTTACTGCTTTAGTAGCAGCAGACCAAAAGCAGCTGGAGCCACAGCAGCAACAATGGCCATCGATGTATTTCCCACCATTTGCCCAGAAACTGCAGACGTTTTTTTTTTTATTGTTATTCAACTGTGCCCCGCTAGATGGCACCACCTGTCCAATGTAACTACGCGAAAATTGTATTTTTGAACCACTTGCGCCATTCCCCATAGTAACGTCCGGCGTTTTTTTTTTTTTTTTCTCCACGAAGCGAACTTAAACGAACAGGCGGCATTTTATTGCATCTCTTGATGCACGGAAGGTTCTTTATTTAGTGCAGCTAGATCGATTACTAGTGAATAATTGTAGGCGGTTCGTCTGATGTCATCGGGATCATTTTGACAATGTCCTACTGTGGCGCATGTGTTCTTGTGCATTTACCTTAATCTTTCGGTAAGCAGGGCACTGTTGTTGATAATATTGTCGTTTTAGATGTCATACATGGAGCTTTCACTCTGATGTAAATTGTTATTTGACTTTCGTGTCCCTTTAAAAATACTACTGCACCCTTTTCATGGGCAGTCATTGCTAAATTGTATAATTGTAAGAAAGAAAAGTAGCAAGTGACTTCTGATATGTGGCAAAGTCACGACGATACCTCTTCATTGTAATGCAAGTTGCTTTATGAATTTTTTAAAGTGACAGTGTACGAAATCTTGGTGGTAGTGAAATGAATATCGTGGTACAATATCAGCAACTTGACTACTCTTAACCGTTTGAGGCAAGTGCTCTCAAGAGTTTTTTTTTAACCACGTTTTTACGGAATGACGATGAATTTCATTTTAGAATAGCTGGAGCTGGAGTACCTGGAATAAAAAAACAACATAAGAATAAAAATCCCCACTTATTTAGTTTAGGTTGAACATGCAGGCTGAACATTTCTTGAATTTCTTAAAGTCTTGATGATGGCGTAAATGCATTGACTATGCCATGGCAGTTGTCGGCAGCCACTATGCTTGTTGGGTCACCACCTCTTGGGAGCTAGGTCTGGTAGAGTAAACTGTGACTAGGCACCCCATTGTAATGCTATTCTCATTCCATCTTGCTTGTCGGGCACATGGAATAGTGCCAAAAGTCAACTGCATGTTTAGTGAAGAGCTTAGGAATGCTACACATAAAGAAAATTCTGAATAAATTTAATCTCATTTCTTTTTTTAGACCAGACATCTTTATGATACTTCTTTAGCATGTGAAAAATCAGGTCATATTATGTCATCCTGACTCTTTATAAGAGTATGCTTGGCAAAGGACCTATCTATTATGGAGTGGCTTACTATGGAGTGTTGGTTTTGCTAGTGGGGACATCATTCCAGAAAGCGAAATTTGTTACTATTAGTTCTAGACACATGATTTTTCCAGAGAATGCTCAGCTTTGTATACTGATTTTATATATGTGATTACATTATCTTTACACCAATCCCCCCCACCCCCCAGAAAAAAGAAAAAGAGCAGAACGATTTTATTTTATGAATTTGGGATGTGGCTTGCTTAAAAAGTAGTGAATTTTGGAAGCTCAAATTCAGCAGCCACGTTTCTGAATGTTCAAACAGTGCAAATATGAAATTTAATGTTTGTCTCTGAATTTTAGCCAAAGTTATGAAGTCCTTCAAGTCGCAGTTTCGTAGCTTGTGAATTTTTGCTGGTATTTTTTAGAAGATTTCATAATGTTGAGAATCTCATAGATACTTTATTATCGTTTTCCTTGCACTCATTGATCCTCTAGCATTCAAGCAAAAAAAATAAGAAAATCGAATTAGTGTTGATGACGCACTGTTGATCCCGAAATTCAAAACATGCTACAAATCTCTGAGAAAATCGCAAAAAACTGAAAACTTGCAAAAATGAACATGAAGCTACAAAACTTATCCCTCAGAAAGCCCTTGGGGAGTAATCTGAAGCAGGCTTTTATTTGTGCTTCTTCCTTGCGGCTGCCTAGAATGCCGCTGAAGATGCACGCTTCCTCTTCGCGCTAGATGCACGGCGGTAGTCTTTATCGACTGCCCACTGGCTGCCGTGACTTGTTGCCTCTAGCTGCAGTTCGCCCAAATTAAGTGAACTTGACTCCTTGTTTCCTGGGTTGAAAGGCAATAACAGCATCTGCCACGGCAGTCCTAAACAGCAAACATTACACATTCTTGTCTTTTTGTGACAGGCTGTACATACAGAGTACAATGCCTCATTCGTATTCGTGTTTTTGCTCTCACACATCTTTGAGGGAGCTGCTTGGCAGAAAAAGCGGTCGTACACAAGGCGCAGCGCATAGCTGACAGCCTCTGGCAAGTTGTACTTGCTTTTTGGCATGTGCTCATTTTCTTGCATGGCTTCTTTGTTCTTGCAGCATGAGTTGGGGCCCTGTCGAGAATAGCTGGGGTTAGTTTTGGTCATGAACGTCACATGATAATATGTAGCCCACACCGCCTTGTGCCTCTTGTCCAGATTCCCGGAATGGGATTTGACTGCCCAGCCGTAGTAACTCGTCAATCTTGTGATGATGTCGCCCGTGAGCTGGCCCTTGCCACTCATGCGCTCTCCACCCTTCCCATTGTGCTCAGGGTGTCTACCAACCTGGAAAACCTGCAAAAGTCGGGGAATTCGGATCCTTCTGGAAAAGTCACGGAGAAGTCAGGGGATTTCGAAAAACCTGGCCAGGTCATGGAAACTGACAGCAGTTCTGTGCGTTTGTCAGAAAAATAAGCATTATCATTGATCAATGCTTAAAAAGTCGCTCTTTCAACTGCAACTACAGTGAGCTGCTAGAAGGCGTGTGAAAAAAAAAATGATGACATAACTGTTGCTTCTTAATGTAAACGTGGAAGGATACACCGACCCACAGAACACAAAGTTGACTGGCATTGCAGCACCCGATACAGGAGCCTTGTTCGTAAAATAAAAGCCATAAGAAAGACACACCGTATCTAAGTACGCCTAAATACAGTACGTGACGTAACTAGCGAGAGTACATTGTCAGAAGCATCCCACCATCACTTCTTTGCGCATATGTGCAGTCGTCTGTATTTGGATATTCCAGGTGCACGTATGATGCAAGCTTCTTTTAAGTGAGGAGCATTTTATTGTCGCATCTGCTCGTAAGTGCGGCGTCAGCGGGGGTGTCCACACCCCTACTGCGCATGCTTACAATCTTGTGCCAGCTGTTGCTCCCCCCCCCCCCATCTCTCGCCTCGCAAGGCCGATGCAGGCAGCGTCTGCTAATGAAAACCGACTGCTTGCACTGCACAACCATTCACTGACCAACCCGTGTATGTAGGCGCTGGATTGGGTGTTCGGAATGCAGTCAAGGGCATCTTTACTTGACTTACGCTTGACTTGGTGCTTTGCTTGACTATAGTGGATGCGATGGAAGCAACAGTACCTTCAACCAGTAGTGGGGCACAACCCGACATCAGTGTCCCACCACTCGTTGAAGGCCACCACTCGTTGAAGGCACCGTTTCTTCTTCATTCAATAAATACGAATAATAAAGATGAAATAACAATTAAACATTCCTAAACCTTACTCAATTGCGCAATATTCACGCGATACCTACACCGCTTCGTGACGCATTTACTCAAGTCCCCTCCCGTGGGAAGATGCGAGTTTTTTCTTTGTTCAGAAGACGTGCGTTTTACAAGTCTATTTTGCGAGTCTATTTCGTCTATTTCGTGTTCAGCGAGGGCAGTTTAGGCAATGCGTCGTTCCATGGCATCATATTTGTGTTGTTTAACTCTTTTCTTGAAATCGCCAGTTTCACCAATGTACTGGCTGTCACAATTGTGGCAGCCTATGGCATAAACAAGACCAAGGAAATATCTGCTCGGCAACTTGTCCCTCACATTGGCTAAAGCATTCCTTAGCTTCCATGTTGGTACATGCACT